TTTAATATAACATTCTGTGAAAGTGTTATTTTACATTTATATTAGGTTTTATTGTCCCGCCTGCATATTTGCCTATGATTAAATCTAAATTTGTTTTGAACAACTTTCAAACGATTCCCGTTTTATACCAGCATCTATGTGCTGTTAAATAACAATTTGAAACAATTCCCCTTGGCTTTAGAAATTAAATGTAGCATGCTCCAAAAACCAACCATTTCTCATTTCCCATTTCGCCGGCGTCCAGAAATTTCTATTATAATCGAAACTTTTTATCGGCGCACTGCGCACTTGGTGAAACTTTTGCATTTCGCACAAGCTTGAAATTACTTTGTCCTGGCGGGGAAAAGTCCTGCGGCTACTTGAAGCATTAGCGAACTACGGACGCGTTCCATTCGCGGCCATAAACATAATAAAATTCGGTAATTGAAACCAGAATTGTTTGGGGAAAACGGAAGTGGGCCACAACCGATGGAGTTTAGTTTGTCTTTTGTCTGGGCAGCTGATCAGATTTGGGCGGACAACAGCTTACCTGCCCACTAATTACGCTCATTATCATTACAATTAGCTGGCTAACTTTGCTTTTGTTGGGACTCGCATTTGCCTATTTATTATTCAGAAAGTCTACTCAAAATTTGCCACAATTTGCACGGTTTATGCCGAGATTTGTTTTGAATTAATCTTATTTGAAATTTTTCATTGACATAAATAATATAAAACTATTAAAATGTACTGGAAATACAAATTAATTCAACCGAATATTCAAAATAATGTAATGTAAAACAAATCTACCTGCATTTTCTCGGCATAAACTTAATTCATTCAAAACTCTTGTTTTAAAAGCAACAAAAACAAACTTTTAATGAGCCTTCGGACGGAAATTTGTAAATCGAGTTTATACTTTGTGGACCTGGCTAACTCGACAGCACACAACTGAAACATATGTCCCGAGGATTTCGACCAACATTTCACTTAGCAGCCACTAAGCAACGGATTCAAATGGAAAAGTTGACTCGCTGGCATGCAAGTCGTCCGGAATGACTTTTCGCCGCAGTCTTTTGTGACTGCACGTCAAAAAGGGAGTCCCAAAAACACACGGGGACCGACTGACGAGACGACTATGTCCTGGTCCCATAGAGTAAACACAATTCAATTAACTCGGCGCTCGTTGTCGGTCGGTTTTGGGGGCATTGTTGTGCGAAGGCGCAGGCACCGACGACGCTAAAATAACTGAGAACGACAAGCCGATGATGGCACATTGCCAAAGGCAGTGTAGGAGGGGGTACACTGAAAAAAAAGTCACTTACAATCTGTCAATCAAGTTGGATTAGTACTAAATAGTTGAGAGGATATGTTAGCTAAAAACATTTTAGGTTATATATATTTAATAATGGCTGTAATTGAAGAAACTGTTTTATTGTGACAACAAATATACAATTAATTCAATCTTGTTTAATTTAAATCAACAACGTTCAATATTCTATTGGGTCATATACATTTAGTTTGGATTATATAATCAATTATTATGATCAATTTAAAAGCTGAATCGATAAGTCTAGTTAATTTTATCCCAGTGCATTAGATGCAGTAACTAGGAGTATGCAACAAGCCACAAGAGCAAAGCGGCTACAACAAAGCATTTGCATTATTAAAATTTTCATTTGGTGTTCTCCCTTGAAAATAAGGAACCGGCTAATTGACCTTTGTCGGTAAAAAGTTGAATCTTCAGCTGCTCTAAGTCCAAAAGGTAAAAATTAAAAATAGTCTAGTTGGAGTTTCCTACTTTGGCTTTCAGCATTAAGTTATTTCTGCTACAGTTCATAAGAAGATTGAGTGCCCTCATCAAGTTCTACACTTCAACCACTCCCTCTGTTTTGTCAAACCAATGGCGATAATAACTATTGTATGCTTAATGAGCTAAAAGCTGAAAAACTTTGACTTAACCGAGCACAACAGGCGTCAACGTGGCATTCGCTCATTCATCATCTGCAAGAAATTTAAGCAAAGCAGCAGCTGAAGTGTAAATGTCATTGTCAGCTTGGTTGGGCCAAATCGAAGGGCAGATGGGGGAAGGAGGTCCAGGGGGAGCTATTCCGTGGCCTTTGCCCATATATTGTACTCAAGGGGTATGCTGAGTGAGCTTTAAATGTATAATTTTTCATAATTTTCCTACCCTAATAGTTTTTATTTAAACCTTACTAAAAGTCTTTACTTAAAGTGAACTTGTAACGCTCAGGTATGTTAAATTTATTATTATTTTTTAAGTTTTAATCCAAAATAAATATTTACCCTCAAAAATTGATTCTAAAACATTATGATTATTATTACAGTATGGGTATGTATGTTTAAGCAACAAAACCCCTTTGATGTCTATCGTTATTGTATAAAACTCAAAAATATTGCATACTTACCTTCTCCTCCCGAAATGGTTTGACTTTCTCCAGCGACAGACAGGATATTCATGTCTCTATCCAGATCCTTGACATCATCGTTACTTGTGTTTCTTATTGCTTCTTTTATTGTGCGGCACAGCGGTTGGGAGGAGTCATCGTCGGAGGAACAGGACATCCAAAGGATGCGATGCGTGGCAGTGGCTGTGCCACTGAGATGGAGACGCACGACTGCCGTTGACACTTCGCCACTGGAGGGTGGGTTAGGAAAAGCGGAAAACAGGAAAACCAGGAAAAAACTATGGTTTTCCGAAAGGGTAAACGGCAATACCATGGCTGCGGGATCTGCGGGAGTGTGACTTTGATTTTTGGTTGGAGCTGTGGGGGACTTTTTCGTCTCTGACTTACCTTCGAGTAATGACTTCATTTTCCGCCGCATACATTTCCAGCAATGTCACGCCTGGCCGCGGTGGCTTTGTTTTCATTCTTCAGCCTTTGTTTTGTTTCCTCACCTTTAAAGTTAGAAGCCAAGGAGGAGAAAAATCCATTGTAGGTTTTCTTTTTCTTTTTCAGTTTTGGGCCAAACAAAAACGGTCGTCGCCTAAAAATAACTTGTAGGAATTCCTTTAAATTTAATACACTTTTTTCTGTGTGCTCGTCTTAATGGTGTTTTTATACCCTTGCAGAGGGTATTATAATTTTGGTCAAAAGTGTGCAACGCAGTGAAGGAGACATCTCCGACCCTATAAAGTATATATATTCTTGATCAGGATCACCTCCTGAGTTGATATAGCCATGTCCGTCTGTCCGTCTGTCCGTCTGTCCGTCTGTCCGTCTGTCTGTCCGTCTGTCTGTCCGTCTGTCTGTTTCTACGCGAACTAGTCTCTCAGTTTTAAAGATATCGAACTGAAACTTTGCACACACCCTTCTTTCCTTTGCACGCAGTATATAAGTCGGAACGGCCGGGATCGGACGACTATATCCTATAGCTGTCATATAACTGAACGATCGGAAATGCCATAACTTTGGTGTTTGTAAAGTTAGGAAGTTGAGATTTTCTATAGGTTTTATTTTTGGCCAATCAATCTGACCTACCGAATTTCATGAGAATCGGCCGACTATATCTTATAGCTGCCATATAACTGAACGATCGGATATGCCATAACTTTGGTGTTTGTTAAGTTAGGAAGTTGGGATTTTCTATGGGTTTTATTTTTAGCCAATCAATCCTACCTATTAAATTTCATAAGGATCGGCCTACTATATCTTATAGCTGCCATATAACTGAACGATTGGAAATGCCATAACTTTGGTGTTTTTAATGTTAGGAAGTTGGGATTTTTGATGAGTATTAATAATAATATGAATAATTTTGGAGAATATAATTTTCAGAGTATTCTGCAAGGGTATATCAACTTCGGCTCCGCCCGAAGTTAGCTTTCCTTTCTTGTTTATTTTTAAGGGCAATTTGCCGAATGGGTAGTTTGTGGGCTGGCCGGGCCAATATTTTATATAATGTTTCAATTTGCCATCACATAGACAGTGATACGATTGTGAGGGCGGTTGTGTGCGTATGATTGATATCAATTTTGCTTTGATGAAAGCTCCAAGGAATTGCTACCGAGTTTATTTATTATACTTTTGGGTCGCCTATTCCTATTCCCGTCCTTCGTTTCGTTCAAATGTTTGGGAATTACATTTTTATACAATTTCCCCGCCGCAAATTCGAAAAGCAGAGTTTACTTGAGCCCCTGTCTTTGCGGTTTTGCGGTCCAGAGGGAGGAAAACTTTTCCGTATACAGATATACGGGAACTATATATATGGAATGTTTACATCGGCATGCTGGCTGGCATCACACATAAATATATTTAAATCAGACTTCCTTTTTCCAAGGCATTTGCATATCGAAATGTGGTACATCAGAAGGGAAAATGAAACACAGTATTTACATACATACGCTAGAAAAAATAAATTCTGAAAACATTGACACGATTTGGTCAGAGCGACAACCGAAAATTGATTATTCCATTTATTTTCCGACACGAATTTCTTGTGCTGCAGGAATTACTCATCAATTTCATCGTCTTGGGTGCATGTGTGAAAAATGGCCTTGAATATTGTGAACTTCGATGTTGTATTGACTAGTTGATAGGGCGAATAAATAATGCATTGTGTCTGAGAAGCGGGTCTAAGACCAACCATTCGACATTGATTGCAGATATATTCCTGGGGCACCCACATTTGCATAGCCGGACTATCGTGCGCCTCATTATTTAAATGTTTATTTCAGCAACGTATGTAAAGTGTTTAAAATCAATAATTAAATAGTTTAAAATTATATTCGTTGTACAAAGTTCAAAAAGCTTGTGTGATAAAATATAATTATTTTTTTTTTGCCACCGTTTGGTAATTTGAAATTGAGGTACATTATTTTTAATTTATCCGTTTTAATTTCGAGTTCCATATATGATGTTAGTTTGGGATTGACCCTATTTTATTGTTTCAAAAAGTTGGCGACGCTGAAGTGGAAACATTTTTTTTCCAGTGCTGCCCCATGAAGCCAAAAAGTGACAAATAACTTTAGCATATTGAGAAACGAAGTTCTATTTTGACAACCACTTCTTTATTTTTGCACATATTCAAAATTACCTGGTTATTTATATAAAAAATGAAGAAATTCTGCGACGAAAGTTTGGTGGCGCACCAAATTAAGAAAATTCATCTTTATAACAACCTTAGGATACTATTGGAAAGGTACTAGTAGTTTTCTTTTGCTCTTTTCCTATATTTCATCGGAAATTGTGTTCCAGATGCGAGGATTTCCCCAAAAGGACGCAAAGTGATGATTCCCTGACCCGCATATATAAATCAAGTCAAGTTTTGGGTAAGAAAATGGGTAAATTTATTTGTTTATAAAAGCACTGGCTATTTTCGGCTGTGCCGGGTCTTAGTTTACTATAGAATCGGTAAATATGTCCAAGGAAATACTAATGAAGAAGTATTGGGATTATTCAGGATGATTCCCAAACAATTATTAGGAAATTTCCATTTAAGAAATTATTTTTAATCTTAAAGGATCGTCCAAGGAAACCTCTTTGAATTCCTTGAGTAAGGGACATATTCAGCGGTTTTCCTTGGAATCGCTCTACTTGGATTTGCGCTGCATTCGCGACCGCAGCATCTTATTCTCATCAGCACACTTCGTGGTAATGGCGGTGCGCACTTCCCGGGGCGTCATGTCCAGACTGTTGGTCATCAGGTACACCAGATCGGCGACCTTGAGAGGATCGAGCTGCTGCTTGCTGGGACGGGCGCAGTCCCTGAAGGCCGGCGATGGTTTTCCGGAGAGCGTGTGGTGGGCCAAGGTGTCCCGGTCAAAGATCTCGCAGAGTAGCTTCCGGGTGATCGACGGACCGGTCATGTCCCAGTTAATGGCGCTGAGGCTGACGCGGGACACTTCGGTGCCATTGGGACCGATCATCACCATCGGCGACTGGCTGTCCTGGTCGAACTCGAAGCCCGGACACGGACGCTTCGCATTCGGGGTGGACGTCACCGGCTTCTTGTTGCGCTTCCTCTTATTAACAGCCGGTTCCTCGCCACCTGGCACATAATCCTCGTCATCATCATCCAAGCCGAGGTCCTCGTCGTTGGTTTTCGGCGTGGAAGTGTTGTGCTCATCGGCTCCGTCGCGGAACACGACAAAGGCCTCCGAACTCTGCTGCTGATCCTTGTCCTGCTCCGCCTCCTGTTCCTGCTCCTGCTCCTGGTCCATTTCCTGCACCTTCTCGATCTCGATGGTGAGGAGATCCAGGGCCTTGCGCTTGCTGCGCTCCCACTGCTGGATGAGCTTCATCCGCGCCTCATTTACCGCCAGGATGGTACTCCTCATCAGCTGCTCGTTCTCCACATCCTGCACCAATTCTTCCATATCCTCCGCCTTATCCTCATTACCCGGCGACCGCTGTGATCTCAGCAGTTTCTCAGCAGCCAGAGTCAGAGTTTCCAGAGTGCTCAGCTTGCCATTATCCGACATTTCGATATGGCGCATGGCACAATTGGCGAATTCATTGGCTTCCTGGAGACGCCGCATCTTGCCATCATCGCTCTCCTCCTCGGTGAATGAGTCATCTGTTCGGAGGCGAGCGATGATCTGCTCCACTTTTTTTTGCTTCTCGGACAGCTGAACGGTCTCGGGATCGTAAGGCAAAAAGGTCAGGGCGAATTCTAAACGTTGGCGACGATTCATCTGAAAGGCGACCAAATTATTATCAAAGATAAGTCATAATTTTTTAAAGGGTATAATTATATTTTACATTTAAAAAATTATATAACTGTGTTATATTTAGGATATGAACATATTTCTTAAACTATTAAATAAGACAATCCTCAAGTGAGATTCATATGAATTATTATGTTCTTCAAGATATATTTGAATTTTCTCTCTGACTCACCATAGTTCGGCTTGTTGTCCAATTGTAAACTGATTTGTTACTTATAAGTTACGGGCTTATATACCATCACGAACACGCTTTCAGGTAGTTTTAAAGAAGTGCTACTAAATCCTTTATTACCCTTGTATTTGGCAGATGCTTCTTGCTCGGATATGATGACCAGCAGGTCGGACATTAGACGACTACCTGCGGGTGGGGCTTGCAGCTGCCGTTCCATTTCGGGTCGCTCGGTACCGGTGCCCGTGGACTTCAGGGATAATGGGATTGACATAGTCTCGGAATCGACCCAAACCGTTTCCAACCAGGACATGGCCACTCAAACGGCAATCCCAACGTATTCCAATGAGCAAAAGCTAGATTGCAAGTTTAGCCGAGATGCATCCACCCAATCTGTGCCAAATCTTCGAGATGCAGAAACACAATCGACATCAGATTCGTCGGAGGCCTTAAAGAATATCCAAACCCAAACGGAAATTATTGCCCAAGAAGATCCTCCTAAATCGAAAGCCCCTACCACTGATAAGCCTGAATATTTAGATGAGAAAGCTTCAAGATCTGACAGTTCATTCCGAAAATGTTTCTTTAGGCGGCCGATAATCGTGGTGAAAAAAGGCTCTTTAATTACTCCCGAGTTTACAAATAAAATCCACCAAGGTGCACCAATACTAGTTACTTCGCATAAGGAAGATAAGCAGACACAATATGAAAACCCATTTCGACAGGACAGCAATCAATTTGATGACAAGTCTTCAGAGCCCGCAGCCTGCATCAAAATTCTCGATAGGGTAGAGGAACTGGAAACCAAGTTGAGGAGACAGGAGCAATCTCTTAAAGATTTGCAAGGATCTGTGAAATCATGGAAGGCCCAGGGAAGTAAGCCGGCTGACTGTAGGCTGATCTTCCAGGCCCAACCAAAGAATTGTGAACTACCAAGTAAACCTGCAACCTCTGACAAGGCATCACAGAAAAAAGATGATAATGAGTGCGAGTGCAATAATTTCTCCAAGGAGTTTATTCAAATATTTTTAAAGCCTGATTCAGAGTTTCAAACAAACGTATCAAATACTGCATGTGGAGGGACTTTACGAAATAATACCCAGAAACCCACTGCTAGACAGTGTAGTTGGGATAATGATGCCAACCGTAGAATGAGAACCCCAAAACCCAGTGCCATACAATCTTGTAAGGATGATAAAGATGAAAGAACTATGAAAACTGATCGAAAGGCAATTGCCACACAGTGCGATTTGAATAACAATGATAACAATCCCGGTGGCCGAAATAATATTCAAAAGCCCTTTTCTAGACAATGCTTAGAGGATACCGATAATATATTGCAGCAGTTCAATCGTGCATTCGCGCCACCAAAAAGCCAAGAATCGATTTGTGGCCCGTCCAGAAAGACTTCAGAAACAAATAAAATTCAGAGACCCAGGTTACCTCACTGCGTAACCCTCGCTAACCAAAATCTAAAGCAAGAAGAGGTTGGCAATTTACTCGATAAATTCGTTGAGCTAGTAACAAAACCTGATGACGACACTTCTCCTGCAAGAAAGGTTTCTTCCGCATCTTGTTTGAACAAAAATAAAAGCCCAAATCAATCACAATCAAACCAAACCGTGGAAAAGGAAGTCTATCAATCGTTGATCGAGCAGTTCATACATCTTTTCACAAAATCCAAGAAGTGTGAAACTAAACAAGCACAGAAAACTGAATCTGAGTCTTATTCATTTGATAAACTATTGACGGAATTAATTAAGTATTTTACCACACCCAATGCCCTGGAATCGAGTACTTGTAAAGAGGAGGAAAGGCTCAAAAAGGTCACCATTTCGGAGAGGGAAACGGTCTTGGGTAACGAACAGAAAACAAAGTGCAATTGCTCAAAAGAACAGCGTAATTTTAAGACCGCTTCAACACAATCGGATCTTAAAATGTCCGATATGCACTTGGATTTGAGGAGCAGAGATGAGAGACCCTGTAATGTCGGAGGCAAATCTACAATTAGCCAAATGTACGCCTCGAATATGTCCATTAGAGATATCAAGCCGAGGGATCCGGAACCATGTGGATGCCAATTTTGTGGCGATGGCCATTTGCCTGTCCTGGATAGCTTCTTAAACGAGCTATTTAACCTTATAGGACCAAGGTCCTTCAACGACGTGGTGCTGACCATACTCCGGCATCCGGAAAGCGTCTACCATATAAACGTCCGTGAGATGGCATCGGGTACCGTATTGGGCTGCCTGCTGGCCAATGGAAAGGCCATCAACGAAGCCATCGCCCTGGGATTGTTCGAGGACATCCACACATTCTGTGAGCTGGACAAGCACAGGGAGCACGATCCCAGGGACTGTCCACTGGGCTCAAACCTCGATGCCCTTTGCCCACGGGAGCGTGGTGGCGATATCCATCCGGATAGCAACGCATCCAAAGTTAGGGCCATAGAGTTTACCACTCGAGTGCTGGGACTTCCTGCTGGACAAGCAGGTCGCTTCTTCTCCCTGACCAACGCTCTCAAATTGGCCAAGAATTCATCCCATCAGAGCTATAATTGTTCGGAGCTATCTATGTTGTCACTCCAGCTTCGGCGGAATCCCGAGAGAAGGGTTCGTATTGGACGAGGAGCAGCCACCGGCAACTTGGTTTACTTACGAAGTGAAGATAGTTTTTCATTTACGAATTTTAGCGAAGTGAACCAGACATCCAGCTTATTCCTTCGCATAGTTTCTGGCGAAGATCAAGAGGTTAAGGAAAAAGAGTCCAAGCTAATTAAGTATACTGATACTTAAACATGCTAGCTAGCCATGAACTTTCAAGTATTGTAATTTTTATAACGTTTTTAAGAATTTTCTAATTTTTATTTAATTGTATTTTTAAGCAGATTTTAAAATTATTTGTGCCATTTTAATAAACTAAATTGTTGTATCAGACATTTATATGAATTTAATTGGAGACTATTTATATTTTTTAATGTAATTTATATAGCTAATAATTGGTTAATAGTATAGACATGAATAACTGACCCATTCTTGAACAATTTTGGAGAATAGGAAGAAAGTTGTTTGAATTCCTTATACTTTCATATTCATTTACACTCTTTAAAGCGCTCTAATATTAATCCTTTTCAAATAAGCAGCATATGTTCACGAGCTGGTATGTCCATGCAATAGAAAAATATGGCTAACGTTGCAAATTTCCATTTATTGCCACTTAGCAGCTGCGTATTGGGAAAATTCGCGAAAACCTTCGCAGGTAATACTCAATTAGAATAATCCCAGCCAGGGCTAAACCGTAGATTAATCCCACCTCTCTGGCATCTGTTGTGCATCATAAAAGCCAAATAAAGAATGTATTGCAGGTAGAATAAGTCAACTTCACCCTTTTAGACCTATAAAATACCTGGAAGCGGAAAAGGAGTCATCAGTGTGCCAACAGTATTGAAGCAATCAAGACATTGAAGCTAACACGACAACAAAAAATATTTAAAAGAAATACTCAACTTTCAAGACCAAATATATTTGCCATAAATACCCGCCATCATGAGCAACATCAGCAACGACAGTGGTTTGGATGACTCCGCAAACTGTGGTGCCGTGGCCAATGCCAATGGTCCTTTGGCGGCCACTCGATTGTCCTGGTTCCTGGCCGAAGTGGATGATGGCTCGATGACGAGTGGGAAGCCGAATGGCCAGCGGCGGCTCTGCGTACTCCACTCCATGGAACTGCTGGAATCCGATGTGTCCGACAAATACATGACCCGTTTCGTAGAGTTCCGGGTCAATGGAATGGTGGTGGAGGCGAAGCTCATTCTGGCGGCGGATGAGAGGCGCCTGGTGGATGCAGCTTTGCTTTCCATGAGCAAGGAGGAGCGCGAGGATGAGAGTGCCCAGCAACTGTTGGTTCAGTACACCGAAAACGAGGAAGCGGGCGAGCGTCTCGTCCAGAAACTTGTCTCCCCCAACAATGTGATGTGGATGAGCACCAAGCCGGAGCTGAAGGGTAGTCCCCTGGTGAGCCTGGCTCCCGGATGCATTGCCCATGTTTTATATGCCTACGAGCAACGCGATTACATGGAGAAGATCCTACTGCACCTGAAAGCCCGCAGCTTTGATCTCGCCTTCGATGACATTTTGGAAACTGAACCGGAGGCCATGACCGATGACACATGGATGCTGGTGCAGTACAGTCCCGAGCCGGAGATGGTGGTCTACCAGGTGGTGCAGTACAGGCAGACGGTGTGGCGCAAGGAGAATCTCTTCAAGGATGTGATTGCTTACATGCAACCGCCTGGCAGCGATATCGTCCTGCAGGCCGTCGTCATTAGCTATGGCCAGGAGAAAGGTGTCCAGGAGGCCAAGTACGAAGAGCTGCGAAGATTCCCCTTTGATATAGACTTCCCTCTGCCCGAGGAACTGGATAAGCATCCGGAGCACGGCACCTCCACAGCCCTCTTCTCTCGCACCAGCTTGTACCAGAAAGCGGAGCAGCGGGATTCAACTGGCGAGCACAAGGAGCTGCGAAAAAGTCTGGAGCAGATGAGCGAGAAGGCGCAGGGCGAGGCTCAGATGATCATTGATGCCTTCGACATGGTGGAAAATATCAACAAGAATCTGCAGAGCCGATTGTCCGGAGAAACGCAATTGGCCGTGGAAACAACATCCGGAGACGAGCTTAATTGATCTGATAGAACACACAAATCTTGATTATACATATAGCCAGTTAAGTTACTTATAAAGTATACAACTTACAAAATTTACAAAATAGGTCATCAAATTGTAAAATAAGTCTCCAAGTTAAAGAATATATATATTACTGACATTTTGTCAGCCAAAAAATCATCGTTTTTTACCAAAGTATCTATTATTTTTATAGAATTAAAAGAGTTTACCTTTCATTTATATCAACATCAGTCTTAAAATAATTTAGATCATTAAGTTTAATAAACTTTCAATGAAATCGTAATTATTTAAATGCATGTTAGTTTCATTCCTACCCTATATGTGTTTCTATTAAAAGCGAACAAGATTGGAATTATATTTATTACTTCTTTTATTGAAGAACAACTTTAACTTAAATGGTAGTTTTCAAATATCAAAATGAATTATGGATACTTACATAACTTTATAAGTAACTTTATAAGCATGCATTCGCAGAAATATTAAAAAAATGTAAAAGGGATAACATATGTTATAGAAAATAGTATACCTGAATAAAATGTAAGAATATATAATAATAAAAAAGTTAAAACCACAACAGAAATGAATGCAATTATGCAGAATGCGGGTCGGGAACATAATGCGGCTGGATCATATCGCCAATAACAATAGGAATCATTCCAGGTGGAGGAGGAGTCCCTGGTGGGGCGAATAAAACGAAGGCGCCGGGAGGACGAATAATCAGATGACGGGGCTGCATAAATGCTCGATCATAATGCATCAGTCCAGGAGGCCTAAATATAGGCGGCGGACCTTGTACGAAAACCGGACGGGGAATAACCATTGGTGACGGAGTGATGAACCGAGGTTTTGGCGGAGTGATGAGCCGAGGTTTTGGCGGACCCATTCCAAATATCTGGTGAGGCAATGATGACAGTTGAATATCTTGAACAGGCGGCGGAGGCAGTGGTGGAGATTGATTTGTGACAGTTTCCCATTTTGTGTGGTTAGTCGGAGATTCCATTTTGAAGTTTTCGCCTTGCTTATTCTGACGACGATACTGCGAATTGGATGCGTTCTCCAGCTGCAGAAACTGCCGCTTCATGAAACTCATTTTAACGCGACGTGGCAGATTGATTCGCCGCTTGGGCAGACGGTCCCAGGGCTTGAATTCATCCGGCGGCAGTGGATGTACGGTATCAAATGGCACGGACAGAAGTTTACCCTGCCCCTCGACAAACACCTCGCAAGCGGACATGTCCTTATTGATGGCCTGGATATGGCAAATGCTCAGCTCGCCATGCTTGTTCGGCTCCAACTCCACAAGGCACTTGGCTCCCACTCTGAAGTTATAGTCACCCGTATAGATATTCAAGGATTTTGCCTCACGACGATATGCATTCAGGCAGTTGAGCTCCACGTTGCGATACATATAGGGATCCATTGATTTGGCTGCCATGTAGCAAAAGGGAAGGCAATTCTGTTCGAGAATGCGCCGCATGCAGGACACGGGCATGGATCGGAAGTTCTCCTGGCCCAACTCCAGTTTGCGATTGTGGAACGGGCAGTCCTTGTAGTTTTTCAAGACGCAAAGGGTGCGCTCGGGGGGATCCAGCTTAAAGCTTCTTCCATTGCTGCAGAGCAAACGGATGACATTGCCCCTAGGATCAAACTCCATGTCGGTGCCCCACTTGAAGGTCTGTGGGTACAGCATCCACTCCACTGCGAGATTCACGTCCGGCAGGCGAAAGACCATCTTATAGAGCATCTTAAAGGCTACGGCCTGGCAAACGGCAGCGATCTCAATATCCGACATAGTCAGTACAGTGTCAAAGTGCTCCTGGCGGTCCACGAAAATACGTAGGGTCTCCGGGTAATCCTCTCTGAAGATGAGCAGCTTTCCCAGATCGTAGGCTTCGTGGATGACGACATTCCGGCGGTACAAGTGGCACAAAACTCGCAGTTCCAGCAAGGTGCCCTTGGTCTTAGTCTTCTCCAGCTGCCACAGGTACTCGTCATAGTCCCCACTAATATATCGCTGGAAGCTGCGCCTCTTCCGGAACATATAGCGAACGCACTCCATGCGGACCTCGTAGTGCAGCATCTGGGTGTCGTAAACCTGCTCGGCGACCACGCGGAACAAACTGGAGGCGTCCATCACAACGTGCTTCCGGAAGAGCAGGTGTTGCTCCAGAAACCGATCGATCGGATCTGGGGCGGCTTAGAATATTGGTGACTAAACTTAACAGCAAACTAAACTTAAAAGGTAATAAATTTCTTACCTTTACTTCCAGGGCAGACAGTTCGTTTCAGGATTCCGGACATCATGTTGAGTCAACCTTCCTATTGAAGTTGCATAAAACATTTAATACAAATAAAAACTAGATTTTTATTAAAACTTACATTAAAATTAAAGAATGCAGCCAATAGGCAAAAAAAAAAACTTGCAAAATCACGTGGCTGGTTAATTCGATATTACCAGATCGGCGGAAAAACGACTTCCGTTGGCAAATATTGAAAGGGGAACAGTGGAACTGGAACATGCTAAATATATACATGTTTTTACGTAACTTCTGTAATCGGAAATCGATCATTTTGGTTATGCAAGCACATTGTAATAGCATTTTTAACTTGTCACGTTTTAAATAAAAGTTTTTTTTAAAAATGGAGAAATCAGATCCTAAGAACTCCATGGAAAACAGGGAAACCATGGAGACTATCGATTCTTCTCAAAATTCTCAAGCAGATGGCCAGAACAAAAATAAGGACGACCGCGAAGAGTATTTTCTGAAACTGGTGCGGGATCTGAAGGAGAAAGTGGAGCAAATGGACAAGTTCGACGGCAATCGCCTCGCCATGAAGACTCTGCTATGGTATTTTCAAACCCTCTACCAAGAATACAAGTCCATCAGCCAAGGATCGCAGCAGGAGAACCAGGAGTGCCAGAACGAAGTCGATGAACTGACCGACTATTTTGACAATCTCGACATGCAGATGAACGACATGGAGGACGGCGTCACCAGTCCCAATTGCATATTACCGTGGGAGACCGAAGGAACACATTAACACTCGTCCCAGTGGTGTTGTCATCTCTTCCGGAGCATCGGCGTCCGCCAAGCCATCCGGCGGAGCCGCCATTGTCCAATCTATAAGTACTCCGGTCAAGATGCCAACACTTCCCATCGATTGATTAAATTGTCACAGGTCTTAATTCCAATATGTATAATCAGAAAATACAACAAAAAAATCTATGCTTTCCCAATACTCACTTTGTTTAGAATAGCTAACAAAATAAATACGAACTGATTCTAAAATGTTTAGTGAAAATACTGTCGGTTAACATTTTTGGATGTAGCTTTTTTAACGATGTCGTGGATGTGCAAGTCTGCAACCGCAGCCATCGCCGACTAGTTGCTGACTAAATATTATTATACCCTTGCAGAGGGTATTATAATTTTGGTCAAAAGTGTGCAACGCAGTGAAGGAGGCATCTCCGACCCTATAAAGTATATATATTCTTGATCAGTATCACCTCCTGAGTTGATATAGCCATGTCCGTCTGTCCGTCTGTCTGTCCGTCTGTCTGTTTCTACGCAAACTAGTCTCTCAGTTTTAAAGCTATCGAATTGAAACTTTGCACACACCCTTCTTTCCTTTGCACGCAGTATATAAGTCGGAACGGCCGGGATCGGCCGACTATATCCTATAGCTGCCATATAACTGATTGATCGGAAATGCCATAACTCTGCTGTTTGTTAAGTTAGGAAGTTGGGACTCTCTATGGGTATTATATTTGGCCAATCAATCCGACGTACCAAATTTCATAAGGATCGGCCGACTATATCCTATAGCTGCCATATAACTGATTGATCGGAAATGCCATAACTTTGGTGTTTGTAAAGTTAGAAAGTTAAGATTTTCTACTGGTTTTATATTTGGCCAATCAATCCGACCTACCAAATTTCATAAGGATCGGCCGACTATATCCTATAGCTGCCATATAACTGACCGATTGGAAATGCCATAACTTTGGTGTTTTTAAAGTTAGGAAGTTTGGATTTTTTATGAGTATTAAGAATGCATCATAGGAATAATTTTGGAGAATATTATTATAGAGAATTCTGCAAGGGTATATCAACTTCGGCTCCGCCCGAAGTTAGCTTTCCTTTCTTGTTTTTATAATAATGTAGTTTTTAAACTGGGAAAGTATATGGAACTCAGTTTAAAATATACTTTTAATTCACCATGAAGTTGTTTTGTTATACTCTTGAAGAGTGTATTATAATTTCTGTCAAAAGTTTGCAACGCAGTGAAGGAGACATTTCCTACCCTATAAAGTATATATATTCTTGATCAGCATCACCAGGAGAGTCGATCTAGCCATGTCCGTCTGTCCGTTTCTACGCAAACTAGTCCCTCAGTTTTAAAGCTATCTGCTTGAAACTTTCCCAAAAGTTGTCTTTCTATTGCAGGTAGTATATAAGTCGGAACGAGCTGGATCGGGCCACTATATCATATAGCTGCCATATAACTGAACGATCGGAAAAGCCATAACTTTTGTGTTTTTAAAGTTAGGAAGTTGGGATTTTCTAGGGGTTTTATTTTTGGCCAATCAATCCAACCTCCCAAATTTCATAAGGATCAGCCGACTATATCCCCTAGCTGCTTTAAGGCCCCAAAAAACCAATCCCCAACCACATTTCGTTGCACGGAATCTTTATTTGTATGAAAAAATAGATTTTAAAGATTCCTGCACATCTGGGACTATCTGGCTCTTCCTACAGTGTGTCTTCGACCACAGTGCGACCTGCCTAGCGGGAGCGGGAGAAGTTCAGCGAACAGGAGCGGGACAGGAAGCGCGATAGGTAGCGCTGGCGGCGATTCACCGCCGCGGAGCCTTCAGCATGCTCTACTGGAAGGTGGACACCGTGATCCGGTTGCCGTCGATCAGGCCGCCGTCCATCAGCTCGATGGCGCAGGCGCAGTCCTCGGGACGGGCGTACTTCACACAGGCGTAGCCATTCCCCAGGTGCCCCTGGAAGCGGTCGACGACGGTGAGGGCGCCAAAGTTGCCGAAGATCTCGGCGATGTCCTCCTTGGTCACCTGGCTTGTGAGTCCCTTGATGTGGAGATGGACGGGCTGGCGCAATCTGACGGTGGGCTTGCCGTTGGCCACTTGACTGCCCTCGGCGTCGGGATTATCAAGGGAGTCATCGCTGGTGGAGCTGGAGTGGCTCCCTTTCTCTTTGGGCATCTCGTTTTTTGATTTTCTGGAGCTGCTGCTGAGTTGCTTACAGGTCGGGTGACTGCTGCCAAATAAAAATAGGAAGAGGGCAAATGGCGACAACTGTCATCCAGGAAAATTCAAATAGGCAAAGCTACTAGATTGGAGGATCTGGATTGCCACCTAACAGTTGGGATAGAAACTACATCTCTGTGCTAATGAATTGCATAATCTTTGAACACTACTGTTCAATCGATTAAAAGCGTTCTAATAGAAGAAAAAGGTATCATCTGGTAACAATAAAAAAATACTATTTATCGAATTTCCTTAATACTTATTATTATTTAAATAAGTAGTGGAAATATATTTAAAAAATTCGGTGACTTTTATACTGCGTGCAAAGGAACGAAGGGTGTGTGCAAAGTTTCAATTCGATATCTTTAAAACTGAGAGACGTAGAAACAGATAGACGGATAGACATTTAAGTCGGAACGGCCGGGATGGGCCGACTATATCCTATAGTCGCAATATAAGGAAGTTGGGATTTTCTATGGGTTTTATTTTTGGCCAACCAATATAATTTACAGAATATTCTGCAAGGGTATATCCTGTTACCTGTTTCCTTTTACCGTTTAACATCGTTCAAAAATCGGAACCGCTCCACTGGGGTCTGCTCTGTGTGATTTGGGTATAATGGTTTTTTATTTGAACTAATCTGCTACAAAATCGGAAATCGAGAACTTCTGTTGTGTGGCAACACTATCGGTGACATTTGCAAGAAAAAAGCCTGTCACTCTGTGAATAAAAGGAACAAATTAAAGATCCAATTCCGCAAAATGGAGAAATCTGGGCCCAACGAAAATCCATTGGAGCCGTTTGAGATGGATGACTATGACCAAGACTACGCCGATACCCTGCTGCTGTTGGCCCAGATCAGGAATCTATTGGAGATTAGCCAGCGAATGACCTTGGTGGTGCACCTGCGGGAGGAGATAAATAACTTCGCACACGACCATGCCCAGTACCAGGAGTACAACCAATTGCTCGAGCAGTTGCGATACGATCTGAACAACGGATGCCTGGATCTTATGGAATCTCTGATTGTCAAGGAAATTGTGTTCTATGAAATCGGCGACTTGGTCGAAACGGTGCACCTTCTAAACGTGCAGATGGACCAAATGGCCGACGACATCGAATGCTCCATTTGCAGGTATGCCTATCTGGCAGACGAGTGAATCTTCACGCTGCCCAAACTGTACGAAAACGTAGTATCTACAAAACCTGATTTCGCATTGATGTTTACAAGATTCACAACAAATTCATACATTTTTAAAGAGTAAGTCTAAATGAATAACTAAAAATGTTGGATCATTGCCATGTTTCCATTATTTTAGACACCCATTTATTTTTGGATGCAGCTGTTTTTAAAGCAAGACTATCCCACCTATTGAGAAATATTAACACAATAAATATTAGCAATTTCTTAATCAAGAGAATTGTTAAAATGCGTTTTTATTTCAATTGTATTTACAGCCAGAATCTTAGTACTTAGGACATAATAATAATAATAAACATACTAATTATAACTTCAGTACCAAAGAGGATATTATTGTAAATAAGATGACTTACAAATACTGTTTGCTTAAAATGACTGTTTATTATCAAAGAAAAAACATAACATTTAAAAACATTAATGTTCATTTATCAGTCCTGACCATTAACAAATTAGTTTTCGTTTAAAAAATGCAAACCCAATTCTAAACTAAACGTTTTGTTGATCAATGAAAAACAACTTTATAGGAAATAAATAAAAAATAAAATGAAATAGCATCTAAGATACACATTGATTTATTGAGCTGAGAAATGGACCATTAAAAACGACAAACATATTTATAGCACATAAATGCACTAATAAATAACTAAGGTAAGCCCACAAAATCATTACAAACATTTTGTTGAAAAAAGTTTTAAAATGGTCTTGTTGGAATTCAATAGATACAGACGCATTTGACCCTTTAGCAAGTTAGTAATTAATTGAGAGACAGAAATAATCGAGTGAATTATGTCTGTATAATTCGATTTCCGCACGTGTCGCCATCAATTTCTACCAAACGGTTACCATGTGTGATGCACAATTTACTAAGCGCTTTTCCATTATTAAGCAATCATGGATCATTCATGGAATTAATTCCGCAAACCAAACCACTTCATCATCATCAGGCCGGGCGAAGAAAAAAGTAAAATAAACTCGATAATGAAGTGCACGAAAATAGACAGGCAGAAGATTTAAGCGTTTCTTCCGCTGCCCATCGGGATATTGACTTGCTGATTATTTTTATTTGCCCGGCAAACGCTTCAATTGAGACATAAAACTATGCCGACATACGAGCATAAACATTTATACACGATTAAGAGTGCTGTTTGTTTTTATGTTTGGTTTAGCGCTTCCGTTTGCGGAGAGCAAGAAATTCCTACAGATATTGCGTATACGCATTAAATGGCCCAGAATGAGATACAAACAAACAGGCAGCAAAATAGGGGAAGGAAAACAAAAACGAAAATTGGCAACGAAGGGAGCGCAAACATTTGGCCAGATTAAAGTGTGCAATTTGAGGCCAGGGACATGGGAGGTCCGAATTCAATAAAACATGGCCCATAAATCAATGAAAAACTAATCAAAAAATCAAAAGGAAAACACTGGGGGATTTGTTTGTCCGACTTTGGTCAAAAATGGAATTGGCTGTCAGATAAAAACTACATGAAAAGCGTATAACACCAAAAATTAACGTATCTTTTGTTCGAAATTCATTTAGAATGCAAATCAATTAAATTAAAAGCGAAATTTATTTTCTACCCGGGCCATTTTAAAATTTCAATTTATGCAAATGCAACAGCAGTAGGAAAAGCAGAAAAAAAAAACGCGACAAACCCAAGCCGCAAGCTTAAATGCTCATTAGTGTTCTGGACCAAAAAAATAAAATAAAACCCCCGAAAGTGGAAAGAAGGGAGCGCAGTGGAGCGTGTGTTTGTCGCTTGCATCGCATTTACATTTTCGGATCTAGCAGTGGCACATAAATGTAGGAATATCCCCCCAAAGCCGGCAAACCCTCTAAATGCAAAACACTTCAAGACCGGGGGCTTTAAGTTGCCGAATTGCATGCAATTAATTGGGACTTACGGCCAAAGCCAAGGCTAACTTTGACTTTCAGATGGAAACTGGAAGATTTCGACTGCTGCATTGTTATGCGCTGTTGCGTAAATTGATCCCCTTTTAATGATGCACTCCAGTGGCAAAAATAATTTGCTAGCAGCAGCCTTTGAGCCGTCTGCTAAGCCTTCGTTTTATATCATTCGTTTTATGTCATGCGAGTAAGGACTCGACGTCTTTGTTTTTCATTTGAACGAAAATGCCATTGATATTTCTGCACACAATGCAATTCAGATAGACGGAAAATGTAAAGTATACGCAGCGTTGCACCAGCAAAAGTTTGCTCATGCAAATTTTCCGATAAACTTTAACTAATTAAAAAGTTGCTCTTAATGAGGAAATAAAAGTCAGGCAGCGGAGCAGCAAGACCGCAAAGGTTGTACATTATTTTACTACTAGTAAGTTTACTTTTTAAGTGACGCTGTGGCGACAAATTGACATATTGTGGCTACAGAAAGTTGCATTCCAAGTCGGAGCAATTTCTTTTCCCACATGTGCCACAGCAGGAGGCTCCACTTGCGGCTAATTCTGAGTTTGTTGCTATAAGCATTCGGTATCTAGCATTCTGGGGTTCTGCTTGAAATTGTCAGCTCCCAGACTGTTGGCCACACGATGAAACGAAGGCCGAACAAAACCACACACAAGCTACCAGCGCTTTTAACTTGCCCCCCGGCTATTGTTACCAACAAAAAAATGGAAAAAACCATGTTGAACATTCTGTTCTAGTCCACAAGCAGTTGGCCAAGAACTGCGGGAGCTGCGGAATAACAAATACAGCCACTTTTCTACTGCACTTCAGCCAAAGAACACTCCTAGTTTAAGCAGTGCGTGCTTTTACTATCAATAACTTTTTTATTCACTTTTAAAGAGCAATCACACAGTTTCATTCTCTTCTAGAATTATACTCTGGTATAAAATGAAATTTAGCCAAGAAATTAAATAGTATTTGAATAGTAGTAAATAGTATAATTATAAATAAAAATTGAATTTATATAGTTATTTAAGTAAGATTTAATTACACATAGTACAAATTTAGTAAGAATCTGACTAAAGTATACATTAAATCTGCAAAGTAATTTAAAATACGCATATTTTAGAAAGATTATATAAAAAGGCAAATGAAAAGCAAGGGTATTAAAATTAAGAAATAAAAAAATATATTCTTGAAAATAAAGACAATATATCCGCTTTGAATTAGTGATGACAACTGCCAAATATCGGGTTTCAAAGAGTTCAATTCACTGGAGCATTTATTTTTTATAATTCACTTGAGCCTTGTTAAGGCTGCTCCTGGCTAGCATGTGTGTGTTTATGGGCTACCTCATCATCAACTCGTGTTCCTGCCCCACAATACCCACATGCAACCACTTGAGTCTACTGTGGTTGTTGCTGGTGTTTGTATTTGCCATGCCATTTGCTGGGGAAATTTTTCTTGATTGCCTCGCCCTTAGCATTTTGCTTGTTTTTGCTTATGCGTCGTCATCTTTCTTTCGCAGTTTCCACTTCCTTTTCCCATTTTTTCCCATTTTCCACTCTTTTCCTTCTGGCCTGGCTGACAGTGATTTTGACATTTCACGCGCATTTGTTTGTTATGCTTTTCTGGCCAGCATTGACAGCGCGGGAAAGGTCAACATTTCCCTTTTTTTGCATATATAAGTGCGTACGGCCATGTATTCATAGAAATCGTAGTGGGGCATAATAAAAATAAAGGCTATGGCACGCAGGCTCATTAACATTTGCGAGGCACGTGGCGGGAATGACGCTAACTCAGTTGCTCCCCAGCGTCGCATTCGGCTTAGCCAAATTGATTTTTCGTCCGGCCAACAAAACAATCTAGCACGGAAAAAAATACATAACAATATCAGTTACATTACCATCCCCAGATATGCATACCATTCCTTGCTTTCCAATTTCTAATCCAATGCTTTTATGATCATAACTTATCCGAATCCTAGCCAATTTGAAAGCGAATTGCTTTCCTTTGCTTGTTTTGATTACCAAAATATTTATGCATTTAATAATAAAAGAAGTTCTGCACATATTATGCCAATTTATTATTTATTTAAGATTGAACGTTCACTCCTATATCAAATTTTTATAATCTGAAAAGAAAGTATTACACTTTTATATTTTGGCAATCTAATAAGTTTTGAGTTGGTTATAAGGATATCTTAAAATGTTAAGCAAAAGATAACACAAGTTGCAGTGAACTTTAAGAACCATAAGTCGCAGGCCATAAAACAATAAATAATAAGAATATATATAATTTGGTAATTTGGTAATTTACCATTTTTTAGCAAGAAATCTTTGCTAAGTTTTTCTAATCTAAAAGACCTATCAAAACATTTTTGCTCTGTATTCCCGCAAGGCAGAAATAAACATCAGGCCAACACACAATTCCACTCAAAACAATTATGAATGAATGGCCAGGAGAGCGCTCAGACCAGTTAACAGAGCAGCTGTTGCTGCCAAGCGTATGTTAACGTTTAAGTGTGCCAACAGCATCAGCCTCTGACAAGTATTCTGGCTTTTAGTCCAAAAACAGACGTCGAGGCGAGAGCACGCGGCCCAAAAAGCGCGCGCATGTCAAGCGAGTTGCGTTCGGTTTTCGATTCGAGGCACATGGCGTATACGCGATACGGCCAGTCCTTTTGCTTGTATTGACTCAATAATAGTCAGTGGTCCCTGTTGCGGCTGTCGTGCGTGAGCTGAGTAGCAGATAATGTGTTAATAACTAAACTGGGCAGTCGGTGTCGATCAATCAGTATGTGAATAGCCATAATCCAACTGGGAAGGAACTTCAATGTAAGCCTAATTAATTAAAAGGTGAACAATAAAAACTTATTTTTAAGAAATGTATATTTACTGTACATACATTTTGAAAATTCTAAAATATTTTAGAAACTGTAGTGATTTATTAACAATTAGGTTCTGCATTTAATAAAAAATTGACTTTATTAATTTGTTTAACAGTGGTTATAATTTCATTTTTAGTTCCTCAAACAATTGGAGTCTGAAAATCGTAATAGTGCTTAAGTTGCTGTACTCATCAGTATTATTTAAGTTGATTATTTCTTTTTTTAAGATGTGTCTCAAGTTTCTGGGCAAAAAATGTGTAATTATACAATTAAACAACTAATTTACCTCTTGAATAAGCGTTTAATAAATTTAATGAATATAAAGGGACTCATACTGCTGGATTTTTAAGCTAACTTCTTTTTATTGTTATATTAAACACTAATCCTCGTCATTGCTGAAAAAACAATTTCTACATTTTTCAAAACATACAATTGTGTTATTTCATTTAACCCAATCAGATGGATGAAATGAAATAACAATACGAAATAGAATATAAATATTAAGGCAGGGCCTTAAAATAATTCGAAGAAAAGCTCGAAACACCTAAATAAATGCAAATTAAATAAATTCAAATCGGATCAGGCCAGTGACGTATTTAAATTTCACCAGGAGCGAAACGAGGCGACACGTAGTTCGACATTCGAGCTGTCATAAGCCGGAATTCAGGACGGATTGCATTAGGGAAGTTCTTTCTTGTGCTGCTCGAATTTCCCTGGGGCACTTGGGATGCACGTGAATTCCATGCCGATGGATTTGACTTTTCTCTTCCTGCTCTCATATTTTTTGTGCGGCGTTTGTCAACGCCATTTCCCTTCTGTTTGATTTGCATATTGCTACCTGTCTGCTGAGTTCCCGAGCCCGTGAACGTGCGTGAAAAGTAAACAGGGGGAAACAAAATATAAAAGAAGAAAAAAAACGTGATAAAATAGGCGAAAAAATGGCGGATAAAAAATGAAAACATTTGCCGGAAAACAAAGAAAATTATCTGACCAGATGCCCGTTTCCCCTTCTTTCCCGAGGGAAAAGGAAAACGGTGGGTCGTCAGTGACAAGTGACAGTTTGTTTGTTTGTTTGCCCGCCGAATAAGGTGGTCAGGTATGTCTGATATGGCAGCCTAATTTGGCCGACGCTTTTATTGTTTGCCCTCGGACATGGCGTCATTATCTTTTGGTATTTTCATGCTCTCCCTGTTTGTTTACACGCACTTTTAACGTGTTTATTCGGCCGTAACGCAAACTAATTGAAACACACCGGGCGTATACTTATTGTAATGCCCGTGGGCGTGTCACGTTCCGCGTGCAATCAGTGGGCGCCTTGAAATCCACTCGGCTGCAATTGCAGTGCACTTGCCACGCCCCCCGTTTGCTCTTTGAGGGCAGTAGCCCCACTGTCATTCGGTCCTCAATGCCAGTAGCTGAAAGCTGAAACAACAGCGTGGTACCAGTGTTCGTAGTCCTCGTCATCGTCATCGTTATAGTCAACCTCATAGCGTCATCATCACCGCCATCATCATCCGCCGTAGTCGCGAGTACGCTCGTTCAGAGGTTGAGGTTGAGCCGAGCTGAGTGAGTGAGTGCCATGGGCGGCAACTTGTTTACCTGCCTGTGTTTTAATGAAATGCAAATGCAAACACAAGCCGTGAAGTACCATGGGCTATATTCGCTGAAAGAGTGGGTAAAAACGGTAAAGGATTAACTTAAAATGAAAGTCAGTAACCCTTTTTTTATATATAGATTTAAAATTTCGATTATGAGATATGCCTTCGTTCCCATTAAACTGTATGAAAATTGAAGTATATATATATATATTGAAATATATATAAAATGTCTTGAAGTATTTCAAGACGCCCTTAAAAGGCATAAGCAAACGAACATCGCCATTTCCATTTGTAAGAACTAATATATTTTTAAAAAATTTAAGAAAAATATATAAATATATATTTTTGATTTATTAATTTGTTTTCTGCCAGGAATATAAATTCTGTAGCTATTTGCAATTTATGTAGAATACCGAACATTATTTGTACATAAAAGAATAATGTGCTTAATAAATTATTTAATAACAACTAATTCCTAAGAGCAGCATAGGCATTTTTAAATTAATCATTTGCCATAATCATTTAATCTAATTTTAATTCAAACACAAGTTCCTCTCTTTTATTTCAGTTTGATAATCAAAGCAAAAGCATAGCGTTTTATTTAAAGTCTGTTTTGATTTATGTTTTGTTTTATTTGTATTTGCTTATTGTAAATCAGCAATGTTTGTTTTCAAAAGGCCGCTCGATGGCTTCGTAAGATTGATTGCAGCCTTAGAATAAATCAGAAGAAGCCTCAGTAAACGCCGGTAAACACTCCACAGTGCGCACCTGGTCCGCTCCCCCCTCCCCCTTCCCCCTTCTCCCTTCCCCCTTCCTCAAACAGGTAATTTTTCTTGGCCCGCCTGCAATGGCACTTAGTGGTAATGGGGTTACTGCCAAGGAGCCGCATTCGCTTTGCCAATGTCCCTGATTTGCTACGCAAACACTTCAATTTCCGTGACAGATGACAATTTGCCACAATTGCACATTGCAGTGCAATTAGTTTTAATACATTTTCAAATCACATTTGGCCGCAATCAAATATGTATTTGTCATAATTTTATTCATGTTAGTCTTGGGTTTGATGCCCTGAACTCGCATAAATAAATTGGCAAAACATTTATTTACGACCAAAGGGGGATTTTTCCAGCCCTCAGCTTGCCATTGAGGTCATAAAAACAGATTTAAGCACCATTTCAAAAATGTCTGGTATTGGCCATCATTGAGCTGGTCTAAATGCGCTGGATTTCGATTTAAAGTGTAATTTGGGCTTGCATTAAATTTATGGCAATGCATTAAACTAAATACTCCTCAACGAATCTTTCGAAGGTGTCGCTGCGGAAATTGGACGTGACAAACTTATGAAAAGCGCTTAAACATGTTAGCATAAGCGCCTTTTTTATGGTTGATATCAAAAGCGGGTGCTTAAGTCGTAAATGACACCACCGGGATTAAAGGAAGTTGGTAAAGAAATCCTGGTAATAGTACGCTCTTTCTGAAGATTACGTTTTTATTTATTACCAATGGATACAAAAATTTAATAACACATCGTTAAGTATTTAAATAAAGTCAACTTCATGAGACTGATTAACATTTCTCTTATTAAAACTATATTTTAATTAACTTAAAAGAGAGCACTTGAAAAGTTCTTAGCAAACTTTGATCCCAACTCCACCATATTATGATAAAGATAATAATTACCATGTAATTCAAGTTAAATACACATTAAAGTCACTTAGGCTGTACCGAATTCATTTTTGAATTCAGCCCAAGTGTTTTTTTTTCAAAAGTCAAACCATCAAGGATAACGTCAAATACTCGTATCCTAAGGCCGAAGTCGAAAAGTTGAAAACTTTTCCAATTCACTTAGTTCATTAACTTGATTCATCGGCAAGTGAGTTGGGCAACTCCACAAATGGTAATCAACTGGCTTTGATTGCTCTCTTTTTTTCTGGTCCTGTGCCAAAAACTCATCTCGGTTAAAGGTTCGCATTGCAGCAACCCCTTGACCTTGGCCAGAAACCAGAGAGGAATATTTTTTGGCCAGGCTTAGCGACAACTCTTTGGTAACATATCACTCAGCTCAAGTTTTTCCCCCCGCCCAAAGTTGCCATGAATAACTTGTGAATTTCTTTGAAAATGACTCGCTCAAAGTGGAAGTTTCCTTTTCCTCGCGTTTGACATGCAGAAAAGGTCGTTCAACACTTGAAATTAATTAAAAAAGAATTTGTGTGCTGTAAACTTTTAAGCTGCAAAGGCTGCCGTTGCATTTATTTACCCATTAAAGAGCTTAATCCAAATTAATTTACAAGTTCGGTCAGGCGGCAAGCCTAATCATTATGGGGTTACAAATACTGCCTTTGATTTATTCTGATAACTCAATTTGGCTCCCTCACTTTTGTCCATGCCTCATATTTTATTCTGACGCCTAGCTACATTTTCACTAATTTATTACGGCCAGCGGCGACTGATTTCACTTTAATTCAATTTATCTACCAACAACACCATCCGTAACACCATCGAGAATTCGTATCTGTTTCATGGACACGATTTCCAAGCCGTCGGCAGTCCATCGGCCATGTCGGGATGTCGGGACAAAGTCAGTTAACTGCTTATCTCCTCGGAACTAAGCCAAATCGGGCCTCAAATGGAGTGGGCGTGGCTGAGAGTCACGCATCGGGGGACTGTATGCACGACAAATTCATTATAATTTTGTCTACCCAAAGTCCTCGACGGCTTCAATATTCCTGCGTGCGTGCCAAGACATACGGCAAACGAATTTACTGCTGGCTTGCGGTTGTATTGGTGACATGCACACACACATACACAGACATCCGCACACACGGTTACTTACCCACACAAATGAAAACACTCACTGATCCAATATGAAATCAGTTTAAATGCGCCCCAATGTGTCGTTCCTGGATTATGATTGCGAACGTTTGCGGCTGCCTCGAGGGCGGCTCCAAATGTAATGAAATATTTTCTATTTTGGGCGATAACCAATCTAGGAATTAATATTAGAATACTAGACCTCCCCAAACAGTCATTCTATTTTTGTGAAGTTTATTACTTAACTGACACTCCTGAAATCTTAATTTAGAGTCGGTGCTTTTATTAAAATATTCTGCAAAATATTAATATTTATCTTTTATTCCCAATTAATTCTTTAATTTTATAATAATTAAATAATTTAAGCATGAATAAGCAGAAAATCAATAGCATTGTGATAATCTGTTATGACAAAGCTGCTTTCAATTATACATTTATTTATTTGCCAATCGATTTGCAATTGGTAATTAATTATTTAGCCTTAACTATATAGTTTGCAGAAGACAAAATAACAAAAGTCTGTTTAAAACCCTTATTTAAACCTTTTTTTTATGAATTTCATTTGTTCTTGTTTAAATAGAAGTCAATGAGATTTTGTTTATATAGACCATTGATTATCGAATTAAAATTAAATGAAAATAGCTTTGTCCTGTTATATTATCTGCTCTTTATCATATTGGCACCTTAAACACAGAATAAATATTTTTCGCAATTGCTTTTCTTTTGCCGATTGCCAACATATTTATTCAATTCAGCTACACATAATAAATTGCATAAAACAAAGGAAAGAGCACTACCAGATATAGTGTAAAGTCCCTTGGTCATTATTTAAATAAATACACATCATCTTCTGAATACATAAATACAACTTTGTTTAAGAGTCGGAGTGAAAAGCTTCAGAATTATGTCTTTTTTCCGTTGCCACAATGTGCCCATGGCCATGGCCAGCGAAAAAGTATTCTTTATTCTTTAGACACCAGGCAAAAAATCTGAAAAAAAATCCTTCTCGAAATTTCCGCCTTAGCTTTCTTATTTTTTTTAAAGCAAAGGTCCTTAAAAGGAACCCAGTGCTTGTTCATGTGTGTAACTGGGAGCATGTGAGTGTTTTTCCAGCAACTGTGTGAGTGTGGCATTATGTGTCCTGGCATTTTTATGGCACTTTAACTTTATGTTGAGTAATTCCCGGCTGAAAGGCGAGTGTCAAGAGCACGAGAAGGAAAGGCCGAACCATGATGTCCGTTTTGTAGGGCTATTGAATGCGTGTCGGGCTCTCGACAGCGGCTATTGAATTTATTAATTGCTTAATCATGATCCGGTTTACACTTTTTCATCAGGATACCCCTCTTTATTTTAAACCTGAATGGGTTTTTGATGAGACTTACATTTATCTTCATTCAGTTTTTACATTGATTTTATTTTATATTCCATTAAAATCCCCTTAATTTTGAGTTCGTTAATAATATGTATTTGTTGGATTAATTAATCACGCAAGAGTACAAGTACTATATTCAAATGTTGTCAGTAAAAACAAAATTAGCAGCATTTGTTATAAAAAAAAAATACATAGTTCTTTAACCTTTTAATTCTCCCACCATCTTAAAGACTTGTCATTTTTTATTTGTATTATGTTCGTTGGGGAACTCCATGTTGTACTCCCGTTTAAGGACGAACTCTAGGTCCAGCAGGCTCACACGGCTCTTTCGGTGTTTGGCCAACTTGACAATGCGCATCGAGACGTCATTAACGAAGGCATCGGCTATTTTGGCCATCATGTCGCATCCTTGGTCATCCAGCGATGAGTTCACGTCGATTTTCTGCACAAACTGTTGAAGGTTGCCTTTGGTAATAATCTGAAAGGGGGTAAAAACAGCTCGATTAAATTGTCTTAATTGGGTAGCAGTTACCGACATCATAAGTGCCGCCTGGAATGCAGATGTTCTCCAGTTCGCTGGACGGCTCCTTCTCGACGGAACTTTCGCTGCTGGTTTCGCTGGAGCTGCTCGAAGATCTGGTTGAGAAGGGACTCTCGTTGCCGGACGATTTATCGCTGTCATCGCCATTTAGGCCATAGGACCAGAGGTCCTTGTTCTTTCTCTCCATGTTTCAATTTATTTCTTGGCTCTCCTCAATTATGCTAGATGCACTCGGTTAGAAAATGTCTATAACTAGTTGGAAATTATAGGCGTCATGGCCTACTTTTCAATGCCTTAAAGGGGTTCTTAATGTTACATTTTTTTCAAGGAAAATGTTAACGAAAAATATTGCAATTAATTGAAAATATTGTAGAGCTTCACCAATTAAAATTGAAAAAGGGAAACCTTGCGATTTCCGCAAACTATCGGGTGGCATGCCGCCTTAAACTTTCTTTTTCGTTCACTTTGATTTGGGGAAACCCAGCTGCACTGCTGAGACTCAACACTTCGCCCTTGGCTCTGCCATAAATAACCAGTTTAAGTCGCACTCTCTGCACCTGAACGCTTACCATTGTTGCCGCAGCGCTTTCCTTTTCCGCTGCGGCTTTTCCTTCGGCTTTTTCCGCCGTCTTGTGCTTTTGATTTATGTCGTGGCTCGGCTCTGCGCTTTTCATTTCACATGCGCGGCGTCTAAATAAATATCAAATAGCAACAAATTGTGGCCGTGCCATAAACGACCTTTGCCTTAAGCCCAAGACGCGGCCAGGCGACAAGAGCGTCGCCGTGGCTTAATTTTATGCCAGGTGGGTTGGGGCAAGGCCAGTCAAAACAACAACCACCCACACGTGCCCAGGTGTCCTGCTCTGCCGGCCTATTGTGCCGCTTGTTCTTTTCGCACACGGCCAATGCACAGTGGGAATTTCACTCAAGCAAAACGCCGAAATTTACAGCCACCCTGGGAGTTTCAGGCTGAGCTGGATTTTAAGCCACTTCTGTAAACTGATTTAATGGCAGTCTTATATTTACATATAACATGAGTTCCCACGCAAGCAATTCTAATTTAAGGTTGTAATGATATAAAAAAGAATTCATAGCTATAAAAGTATGCATTCAGTTAGTTTGTCATAAAAAAATCAAATAAAACTTAAGTTCAAGGGCTGATCAAAAATAATACCTTGATATATTATAATTTGTTCAAAAATTAAAAATACTAATAACATAATTTTCTAAGTGTGTAAATAGAATTAAAGACCTGTAGAAGAAGTTAATAATGGCTTAAACGTTTAATATCCATAGTTATGAGATGATAAACATTTACTTAAGTCTAAAATTTTGTATTTTAGAACATAAATTTAGATATTTTGTTGATTAGTAGTTCTATAGTGCTGTCAACTTGGATATTAGCTATTAATCACTTTTTATTTCTATATACATTTTCTGCACCCAATTCTGTATTGCAATGAATCTACTTTATATATCTAGTGCCACAGTACCCATTTTTGACATTCTAAAATTGTGTGCCATTCGGTTTTTCTGCGCTCTGCCCACTTTGGAGGTGCTCCTCGGTGTCCTCGGCTTAATAAAGTCGCCTACTTAAAGCGGGCGACAATGACATTGTGCGTATGTTGCCAGTCGGCGGGGGAGGTCGCCCCTCGGCCATGTGTCACACATCCGCATCCGGTGTTTGGCATTGGCATTAGGCTCTCTCGGCCCCATTTTCCCCACTTTTCCGCTTTTCCCAGTCTTTCCACTTTCCACTTTCCCCCCTGCCGACTGTCGTTTGTCGTTTCCGGCATGCGACTCTTTTATATCGCCGCTTTTATTTGCTGTGTGCACTTTTCTGGTCCTGTCCGCTCATTGTCGCTGCCTGATTTCTGTTTCATATTTTTCTCGGTGGCCTTATGCACAGTGCGAGAGCAAAAAGCGCTCGTCGTTTAGCTTTAAGTGGGCCGAGTGCCATAAATTTCACTTTGTCAGGGTCTTTAATCGCCCAAGCCCCAATCAGGCAGTCATTGTGGGCGCTTGAATAGAACTTAGCTGCCTCAGAAAGGTTAATTGTCGTCGGGCACACGAGAAGCAAGTGACTGAGTTTTATGGTGAATTTATTTGCCTTTTATATAGAATTTATACAGATTTTATCTTTAGTCTGGAATTAGATTTAAAGTATTTAAAGGAATTATTTTCGTCTTTATATGTAGATCTTTCATTGCATACTTTTATAGAAATATTTTTCTTAAATGAAAACCCATTTAATCTATTCTTAAATTTTATAAAAATTACGTAATCCAAAATATGTTTTCTACTTATTGGTTCAATTTTCAATTCTTATACTACGTTCAGACACACAAAGTATTTACATAAAATGTCAAAGTGTGTTCGAGTAAATGTTTTGAATATAAGAAAAAAAGATTTGTTTTGTTATTTATTTAAAAAACTTTCCCAGAAGTAGACAACCTTTCTGGTCTAAAAATATCTTGATATATTATTCCCAGCCTAAGTTTCAGCATGTATATCACATTTTTTATCCTTAACAAGAATGATGCGCTACTCATCCAGTTCGTGTTTATGGAGTGCTAATTTGGTGTCGTACTCACATAAAAAATTACAGCTTTAGTTGCGAAAAATGTTTGAATTAATCACACATATGTCAAAATTATTCAAATGTCTTTGGGGAAAGTGTGGGTGGCTGGGAATGTGTGCTGGCATGAATAGTTAATAGGAATGCTCGGGCCTGTGGTGGCTCCAGCCTGTTCCGCCTCCTCACTTTCATCCGGAGAATGTGTCTGTGTAATAAAGCTAATGAGTTTCTGGCATGTCTGGCGGAGTGTCGAGACTGAGGGGCTAATTCCCAGCCAGCGAGAACATGCACTCACATTCGCTGGCTGGCTGCCATTAAGAATGGTTTTATTTCACTTGATTATGGCATTCTGTTGTAACGGATTTCCCACATACAAATGAAACTGCCTTGTATTCTTGCTTCATTTTCGCCCGCGCAGTAACATCCTTAGATATTGCGTATACGACACAGTGGCAGGCTCAGAAATTGCGCATACGAAATTGATTTAAATCGGACAAGTCACACACAGACAATTAAACCGAGCCTCATCTGCATCAGATTTGCGTTAATGTTTCATAAATGCAAAAAAAAGATTCGCATTTAATTTCTTTTCTCCATTTAAGTTTTTAATTACACTTAGCTGGCGAAGCGCACGGCAGCAACAGGAATGAAAATTTAAATAAGGAGAAGACGAGGACGAGGAGATGAAATCCTTTTAATAGACAGCGCGCCATTTTGTCGCCAGCTTCGTCGCTTAATCCTTTCGCGGCATATTTTCCAACGCGCCGTGACTTAATGAGGCGCTTTTCCATGCCGAGCACGCAGCTCGTCCTTCCACGCTCGATGGCAAACAATGCGGATCCTTCCGGGAAAAGTGTGACTCTAAGCCAACAAACACACACCTCTTATCAGTTGCATTTACGGTGGGCCAGGCATAAATGTGGAATCACATTTGGTTGCCCCACAGGTTGCTTAAGCCCCATTTGTGAGCTGGAAGGTGTGAAAATGTATATTTCCAACAGGAAATTAATTTTATTTCCCTTTTAAAATGATCACAGTTTTATGGTGAAAACATGAACAATAGGGTGAGAAATTTAAAAAGCTATTAATCAATTAAAATAGATAGCTTATGAATATGTATTTTAAACTCATTTCTTTTTAAAATGGTTATTATAGAATCGTAGTTCGTCCTGAAAGTTGTGTTTAATAAACGGTGTTTAATTTAATTACCTTTTCAAAAGACAATCCTAATTAGAAGATTAAACTTTAGTCATTTTGCTTTAAAGATATTCAAAGAAACATTGTTTTCTTGCTTAAAAGCCTTCATCCATTCTATTAATTTTAATCCGTATCTTGCTTTCGAAGAAATAAAATATTTTTAATGCATCGAGCCGTAAGAAATATCTTCGAATTAATATAAATTAATTTAATTATTGAATTTCCCCAACCTTTTCATGCCCATTCAAGTGATATTCTCAGGAATTTATTCAAAACTCTGGCCCTAAGGCCTATTCAATGCTGTTTGTGCTGGTAAATCGAGCGACTTGACTGGCAGAAATCAACAAGGACTGCAGGCAGGCATCTTCATCTCTGCGCATCTCGGTATCTCATCTCCTCGCCATTGCAAACAATTTACCTTGGGTCTTAGTCTACGTTATTTGTTTGCATTGCTTTTCTGCGCTGGCTTTCAGACTTTTCAGCTGATGCAGCTGGCTCAGTTATGCTCAGTTGTTTTCCTTTTAATGTAATTTCATCGTTTTATGGAGAAGATTGCCTAGCAAAGGTCAGAAGAGCCGCGGAGGTTGCTAAATAGCTTATGAAATAATATATTACGATACTACAAGAGGTCTTTGAATAAAAGAACCTAGGGTAAAAAGTGTTTCACATTTGCAAAATTGTGAGAAGGTTTAAATAAAAGAAGACAAATAATAAAAACCTGTTTAAGTTTAATTTAAATATCTGAGGGAAAAAACAAAATAGCAAGAGGAATAAGAGTTATGAACAAGATAGTTTTTGTGTGATTTGGTCGATTTCCAAGCACTCTAGATTTTTCATTAAAAAAGTTAAACACAAATACTAAGTTTAAGTTTTTCTTTATCCGAATTTGTACCTCTTTTTACGCGAACCTCGTTGCTGTCTTGCATTTTGCAGCTGCACCAAGAGTTGAATATAATTTCATTTCGCTTGACTCATGCTCGACCTCTGTTGACTGCTTGTTTATTTTTGTGAATGGAAGGGAGCAGGGGACAGGGGGCAGGGGTTAAGTGGAAACAAGTTTGTGGCCACGTAGTAGCCAATTCCGCCACTCAAAGCCAAATGAAGTGTTAACGCCGAAAATGCCAGGAGCGGTTGCCAACTGTCGCATCCGGTGCGATTGTTGTTTTTTGCTTTTGGGGCAGAAAAAAAAGGAGGAGCCACAAACTAAAATCGATGGCGTGACTGAATGATGCAAACCCGACTGAATCGATTGTGGCGATGGTGAAGTGACGTGCCGGAAATCGGCGATGCCACAGCCGAATTCTCCACCTACCATTTCCACAGTTTCCCAATTTTCCAGTTCCGGAATGGCGTGTCAACGCGTTCCGGTGTCGCCCGATTTTGCATATATGCAATTTGATTTCGCACTCAATCTCACTCTATGTCATTTGTTCCGCTTCCGCAGATGGTCAGGAATCCAGGTGATGTGATTGGAAATAAGCGAAGCTAAGTGCATCGATCTGCATTTGCCAATTTGCGAGTGGAGCAGCGGTTGTCTTGATGGCTTCCCTCAATTCACATTCCGAGGACAAATAGCCGAGATTCTGTGACCCGTAGGCCATGTTCGATTGAATGTGGCAGCAACAGCAACGACAACCGGCACCGCAGCAACAACAGCAAGAGCAACACCAACGGCAGCAACCGCCACGCGAGCAACATGTTGACAACGCACCATCTGCACCACCTGCACCACCATCGCGGCAGTACGGCCGTGGAGCTGGACAAGATCACCAACCTGAATACGGTGAGAATATATGTATATTTATACGGAAGCAAATTCTCTAATAATAATGTTGCCTCCGTTTAAAATAAGAAAGAAAACACATTAAAAAGAGCTCAAACTCTAAATATCACTTTTTTAAGCTTATGCTTTATTAAAAGTATTATTATTTTACGGAAAGCAGATCTAAAAATAATAAATAATTACTAATTACTAAACTAAATCTTCCTTCATTCGAAATAAATATTGTTAAGTATATGTAAATGAAAGTATAAAAATGAAAAGAGACAAACAAACTGTTAAACACTTTATAGTCTTGAAACAGGCTAAAATTTCTTGATTGCTTCAAAACGCTTTGACATCCAAAGTCCAACGATTCTGATGGCATTAATAAATTTGCCATTTCAAAAGATAAATTCAAGCAAAAACTGAAACCAATTTTGCTTGTTCCCAAACTTGCAAACCTCAAACGATTGCCAAATTGCATTTTTTTTGTCAAAGAATTCTTTTGCACTTCCAATTTCTAAGAGCTTGGTTAGCGACTGTTTGACCTTTCCAAAAAAAAGTGCCGAGTCGTCTTTCGGCAAATAAAGAAAAGCACTAATGAATCCCAATTGCAATTGCACAGTTTAATCCGTCGGAAAATTGCGAAAAGGAGCTTAAAACTACAAAGCCACCTTAAGCCGGCGCCGTAAAGTGTGCTACAGGAAATTCACTGCGTGAATTGAACTAATTGGCATGGCCTTCAATTTAAGCAAAGTTATATGCCATTTCTGGCAGTGCAGTTGGTCAGCATCCGGTCCAGAATAATAATAACAAGATTGAGTGGAAAACCAGTTTATGGCATGCATGTAAAGGAAGTTAGTTAAAAGCAGACCACCCACTGCATTAGCAGCTGGTGGAAATTATTGAAAGCATTGCATTAAGCGGCAGTGAAAGGAGGAAAAGCGGACGTGGCTCTCTTTCTTTTGACCAGTCACAAAAGTTGTCTAGCAGCAAAATGAAAAATGTTTTTGTAAAAAAATTGGAAAAAAAAAACGGGTGGAGTGGCAGTGAAAAGGAAAATGTGAAACACGTTTATTGCCATTCATTATATTCTCGCGAGCTGTTGCGCAAAGTAATGAAGCACTTTTATACGAGGCAGCTCTCCTTTCACAGGGCACGCACGGTGCCACGCCCACCCCAGGCTACGCCTCCTGCACAGATAACAATGTTTCCAAAATTTTCAATACGATTATCTAAAGCATACATATTCCTTACATATTATCTTTTATCTATTATGTATACTTATTCGTTATTTCAAAAGGAAAAAAATATGCTATTAATTTTATTGGTTAAAAACTCAAGATAGCTACATTTGAAAAATTTATTTTTGATGCAAAAATAAATCGTGAACTGTTTAATTTCATATTTTAAGTCATGTTTTTATGTTCTATAAAATAGTTTTAATTTAAAATAAATTATTAGTTATTGAAATATTTTTCTCTGTGTCTTGGCATGTTTTTGCTTAAAAAAAACAGGATAGAGTGACTGGCGTTGATGAGAAAAGACTTCACGGTCCCCCTTTTTCGTTGAAGAAAAATGGCTCGCTGTCCTGGACCAGAGTGAAAATAATAATTTCGGGTTTGGCCAGTGCAGTTTTTCATGGAGCAGTGGGGAAAAGTGCGTGCCAAAAAAGAACTTCAACCAATTTTCATTAAATGAGCACTCCCACACTCAACAGCCGCCAATATGTCTTCATTAATTTTGGAATAATGTATGGCATGTTTGTGTAGACATTTAGTCGACCCATCTTCTGTGTGGCTCTTGGCATTCGGGTTTGGCCACAGGACCTCAATAAAAACTGAAAACTTGTACTTAACTTTAGCGGCGAACATTTGTCTTTCCTGCGTCCGTAGGTGTGTGTGTGTGTGAGGGTTTGAAGGCCAAATAAATTTGGGACAGAAAGTTGCGCAATAAAAAGCCGTGCCTAAACAAAGGATCGTGTTCAAGGTCCTCGAAGACACACAAGACCCACCAGGATTCTCCGCCTTGTGTCACTCTCAATATGGGCGAAAGGTATCCGTCGATTGTCAGTCCGCTTGATTGATAATGTAAACCGAGCAGCTCAGCTCAGCACACACTCCGGCCATTTGGACCTCCTCCTCATCGGTGCCACCCAATCCCATCGTCGTAATCGGTGGCCATTGAGACCACTATGGGCCCACTCCTCGTCAAGGAGCAAATAAAAGTCCGTCTCGTTCTGGGCAAGCATCTTATCGATTTTGCGGATTACAAGTTTTTGTTATCACTTACACAAATGACCCGAATGGTCGATGCAATTGCTGCCTAGATGGCAATTTTCTTTCCAAATGGAAATGGTTAGTTTAGTGAGATATGAAAAAGGATTAAAGATTAGAGCTTACATTTTCCATGACAAATTTACAGGTCTTTAATATAAACGGGGTAATAATTAAATGCGGTAACAGGGTTAATAGATTTTTTAAGATTTTTCTTTGAATACAAAATGTTTTATTTTCTCACGATTAAAATTTTGGAGGGTTAGAATTGGTTAATACTTGTGTTCCATCTTAATTCAGTTATAATTTATAATAAATATCGGGGCACACCTAATATAAGTACATGTTGAACAACATTAAAGATCTTTCCATGGAAATCCCATTAAAATTTTGATGGCCACCGAAAGAACTGCGTGTGATCTAACCGGGGGCAGTCAGTCCAATCCAAATTGCTTTCTGCGGCAACAGGAGTGAAGTTGGCGGATCAGGGGGTCAGGAGCTCTCATCAGCGTCAGTTTACCGCAGCTGCGATTCGATGCTTGTCCTAGACACTCTTCTTTTATTGTTGCTGCTGGCCGAATGGGGCTTTGTGGCTCACACCAACACGCCCCGGGACGCAACACACATGGGTCCCTTCGATATTGACCGTGTGTGTTGCACATCTGCGGCATTGTGATGTTTTTGCGGCTGCCTCCGCTGCAAGTTGCTGTCGAGTTGTTAGAACACTGAGGGAAAAAGCCCTAACATAAGCTTCGAATAACATTTTGATGTCGGTTGATTTTAAAATTACTTGTCAGGTTCATAGAGACTTTTAAGATTGTTACGCTTTTGTGAAAATGATTCAAGCTTAGAATTTATTTAACAATTTAATATCGGAAGAAGCATAACATAACTTGTTTGTCATTCAAAAATTGAAGTTCTAAGAACAGTTTAATTTTGATATATTTTTTAGTGCTCAATTTCGTTGTATATTTTTTTTTCTATGTAAGCCGATTTCAAAACGCTGTTCGACATTCATACACTGTAATGAACCTTTGTTTGGCTGAAAGGGGAAGTGATGCAGGCGGCGGGGGGCTTGGTGGATGGGGGATTGGGGGTTTGGGTTAAAGGTCGACTGCCCGTCGACTGTTGAATGGACAGTTGGCAAGTTGGCTGCTTCCCTGCGATTGCCTGGAAACCACCTCCGACCCCCTGGCAGATCGATTGTAATTATTCTACTGTTCAACTTGTTGGTTCGGTGGCTAATGCGTTTTGGCATTGCACTCTGTTAGTTTTGCTCCTAGACTGGTAATTGTTCCAAGTGGGCGTGGCTCTGGCTGGACATCAACAGATGTGGAAAGCGCATTAGCAGCAGCCCGTTATCTAAGTTTTTGCAGCTCGTGTTGCAAATGGTGCGTGATATTTATTAGCTAAAAGGAGTACATCTGCTGTTCGTATAAAATGAAAGGGGAAAGTTTTTATTGTCTTGACCAGAGCTCTGTTATGTAACAAAAGCATATAGTATTATAAAATACATTGTGTATACTTATTGTCTTCGCGTTACTTTTTATTATACCCTTGCAGAGGGTATTATAATTTTGGTCAAAAGTGGGCAACGCAGTGAAGGAGACATCTCCGACCCTATAAAGTATATATATTCTTGATCAGGATCACCTCCTGAGTTGATATAGCCATGTCCGTCTGTCCGTCTGTCTGTTTCTACGCGAACTAGTCTCTCAGTTTTAAAGATATCGAATTCAAACTTTGCACACACCCTTCTTTTCTTTGCACGCCGTATATAAGTCGGAACGGCCGGGATCGGCCGACTATATCTTATAGCTGCCATATAACTGATTGATCGGAAATGCCATAACTCTGCTGTTTGTTAAGCTAGGAAGTTGGGATTTTCTATGGGTTTTATATTTGGCCAATTAATTCGACCTACCAAATTTCATAAGGATCGGCCGACTATATCTTATAGCTGCCATATAACTAATTGATCGAAAATGCCATAACTTTGGTGTTTGTTAAGTTAGGAAGTTGGTATTTTCTATGGGTTTTATTTTTGCCCAATCAATCCGACATATCAAATTTCATAAGGATCGGCCGACTATATTCTATAGCTGCCGTATAACTGAACGATTGGAAATGCCATAACTTTGGTGTTTTTAAAGTTAGGAAGTTGGGATTTTTTATGAGTATTAAGAATGCATCATATGAATAATTTTGGAGAATATAATTTGCAGAATATTCTGCAAGGGTATTTCAACTTCGGCTCCGCCCGAATTTAGCTTTCCTTTCTTGTTTGAACTTGGATAGATCTTCTGGGATTGTGATTGTGAGTAGAATATTTTAGCACTTATAAATAAGTTAACACATATTTAAAGAATTATTTTTCATTTTGTGATTTAAGAAAATATTAATTTAAGAATTGCTCTGTGGAATTTGAAATCCTTTTTATGTTCTTGCGGACATCAACTCGGACATAATCATTTCATGGCCCCAGGCAAATGCATTCTTAAATGTAAACACCCCAAAACACACTCCTAAACATTCTAACGCCCACGCACACTCTTCATTACAAACGCTGTCTGTCTTTGTCTTTGTCTGTTCCTCGCTTTTGTATTGCAATTTTAATTTCCGCTTTCACTTTGTCTAGATTCAGTTGTACTTGTCGTCGTTTTCTTTTGTATGTTAGTTTCTTTCTTTCCCCGGTTGCAACCACCCCACAAGCACCACCACCCACAACACCCATCTTATCTCATCACCCCCTCCCCGCGGGCTTTCTTTGTCTTGTTCTTGGCGTTGTGGCATTTGCGTTTTTGCTGATTTACACATTTGGCCAACGAGTGCGGGAATGGAAGTGAGTTCTCCTTACGGCAACCACAGCACGTATGTGCACTGAAAACAATTGTACACACTCTAAATTTATTTTGAAAGAAAAAAATAAATCCTCTTGGATTTTATACTATTTAATTAACTGTCGACGAACTATCTTAAAGTTTTGAAATTAACAAAAGCCAAAAACTTAATCTTTTTGACAAAAACGTGAGCAGTATATAATAGGTATATAATTAAAAAATAATTAAAGAAAAATTAGTTAATAATATTTTCTATTTCTCTAATATTTAAATTAAATAATTCACAGAGTTAAGAGACTTAAATTCCGGTGCATGGTGCATATGGCATGCCGCACGTAGAACGCGTGCAGTTTTTGCTTTCGCCTGCTTTTGTTGCACTAAATTCGCAGCGTGGCAGATGTTTTTCAATTTTTGCCTCAACTGTTGAAGCAAAAGTAGTTCAAAGTGGTTGCCCGTAGAAGAATAATAAAACAACACGGCCAGTCCAGTTCCGCATGAATATGTATATGGCACGGAGTGGGGGAATAATTCCTGCACTTGGAATTATTATTCTGCACATGCTACATCATGTGGCGGCACATCTTTTGTAGCACACTTTTTAGGTGGCATTGCCATTAGGCTGTGCTCTCATTACTGACCAAATGGAGCGCCAAGTGCGCCGGGGGAATTGAGTGTATACCTCAGCCTTATATTAATGAATCTCTCTTATGTAGGTTAGTGTATGTGTGTGTGTGTGGTCAGGTAATTTCAGAAATGTTCCCGGGTTTTTTTTCGCATTCATATTATTTTTTGTTTTTGCGCAGGGACTTGACTCGGGTTTAGCACTGCCCTCGGCTGTCCCTTTTTGTGCCAGCCCAAGGACCTTTGCCCAGGACGAAGACGACAGGCGTTTACGTTTGGGATTTGCATGAGCTGCATGAACTTTTTGCAATGCCCCTCACCGTCCGCAAAAGCCCGGCTTTGTCTCTTTATATCTGCCGAGATTTAAGCGTCATATAAAATTTATGCGTGTGGCTTTTATGAGCTTATACCAGTACCCCAACGAATGTGTGTGTGTGTGTGTGTGTGTCCCACTTGGTAGTGTTTTATGGGAGTCACTGTCCTTGGCGGACAGGTGAAAAAAACCCAAATAATTAGGCAGCTACGGAGACAGGATTTTGTGGGCTCCCCAGTGGCCTATGTCTTATTAAAGTATTTAATGAAACATTTTGGGGTCTTATATTCAGGTCATCCATAATATAGAATGAAAGCGTAAATAAAGATTTACCTCTTAAATCAATAATATGCAATAATATTACTGCGATTAAAGGTTATCTTTTAAAATAGCAGCAGTAAGTTTTAAAATTAAAATTTCTTAATTATAAAAAATTAGGTAAGGTATAGAAGTAAATAAAATAAATCAATGTATTATTGATTATCTTCTTCAAACCAAAAAATATAAAATTATAAATGTTAAATTTAATTATCTTACTTTATATAAAAATTGTATTATTGTAGACAAGCTCAGCTCAACCTCTTTTTGTGCGCAAAGTGCTATTCTGATTATTAATTTACCCTATGGCTTCATATCGGCCGTACTGCATTAAATAATTGGATTGTGTAACCTTTTCGAAACCCTTCCTAAAAGCCTTTTTCCTGAGAAAGCGGAATTTGATTTTTTGCTTAAAATTAACCCGCATTCCGTATTGACTCTGCCTTGTTCCTGTCAATATCACAAGCAAAAGGCAAACAAAGCTGGGTTCCAAAAACAATGAATCCAATAAATTTTCCACCAAGAGGAGGGCAGCAACAGCTGATGGTGGAAAAGTTTTGCCTAGGCCCGAGCTAAGAGGAATGATTACAAAACCATGATACCTCCCCCAGTCCCCCCTCCCCTCGCCCCCTAGATTTTTGGGGAAAGTTTTTGGGGAAATATCGTACTCGCAGCAGCAGCACTTTCAATAAGCAATTTGGCTAAGTGCCCCGCCCTGCTGTTCCGCCTCCTTTTTGGGCCCTGTCTGTGGCATTGTCAAGCCGATGCCATCAATATGACTAATCATGCATATATTTCATAAAGCTGTAAATCTTCCAGCCTGCTCTTAGGTTTCTTCATCGGCACACAGTCGCACAGCTGTCGGCCAAAATTGAGTCGAGCCACAGAATTCACTTTGCATTTGCCCGGGGGCGTTTCAGAGTTTCGAGGATTATTAAAATTACGCATACGCCGCGTTTTAAATGAAGTGCGCGACCAGATGGGGGCGGGAAATTCGGGAGGATTGCGGGATTGAGCGGAAAATGAGGTTGCCAAAGTCAACCATTAATATTTAAACGTGCCCCTCGCATGTGTGTATGAGGGATTTGCGGCGCTGAATCTCGCGTGTGTGTGGAAATAATGCTGGGAATTAAGCTTATGACTGACTGTAAAATAAACTTGTCGGAGGGGGTATGAAAATTAAATTTAATTAAAAATAGACCGTGTATAGAAAACTGTTGTTTTTTCAATGGGTCATAATCAATCACAGATTTTATAACCAGATTTGTGTGAGAAATCCTGCTGTAAACAAAAACTGTCAATTAATAGTTCTCATAATCAATACAAATATGTTTATTTATGGAAGTTTTTTTCATGAAAGCTTTTTTATAGTGACTATTAAACAATAATTAATAATTAAATAAATTATGCAAAATATGTCAAACATACATTCTGACTTTATAAAAATGAGAAAATTGGTTTTAAATTACATGTTTCAATGATAAATTATATTTTACTTTAAAATCGCATCTGTGAAATTGTATTAAAAAATGTAATCCTAATTCAAGCAACTTCTCAACTGGAAAAATTAAAGAATTTTTTCGTCAATATTAATTTACATATTATAGCATTCCTTAAAGCACACAAACTTTGTTTTAAATTTAAGCCCATAAAATTAACTTAAAGCCAAGAATAGGGAACACAGTCAATAATAATTGATTTAATATACTTTTCAGCAACAGCTTGTCCTTCTTCGTCCCTCCGAAAAGGGCTAACTCACCCAAAAGCCATAAAAATGAGCTCGAATAATCCTTTGCATTTCAGGCATTTTAATTTTTATGAGCCTGATTCGGCCGCAGGCGAAAGGCGATGGCGATGGCGACGGCAAAGGAATTAGGCCTCGATTGCTCGATTCATTTGCCGCCTCCATTACGGCAATGAGCCGTAAAACGGCAGCAGCAGCCTCAATTTTATCTGGCCAGAGAATTTCCCAGGAATTTTCTGGGCGAACAAGCAGCCTGGGCAAACAAATATATACTTAGGATGCTGCTGCTGGTGCCTGCGGTCGTCGGATGGGGTTGTGCATAAATTAAAATATGTAATGTGCTATGTGCCCGGCCTAATAGAGCTTTCGCATAAATTAAGCATCAGTTGCTGCCGATGACCCTGATAACAATTTCCCGCTCTCCCTGTGATTTTCAGCTCATCGTGGAGATCAACAGCCATGTGGCGCTATTCCGCGACATGCTGATACACGTGGGCCAGGCCAAGGATTGCCCCGAGCTCCGCGAGAAGATCCGAAAGCTGCGACGCACCTGCGTGGAGGCACTCAAGCACACCGCCCAGATCCTGATGCCCCAGGTCAAGAGGTGAGTTAGCACCATCCTCTCTTCAATTTCACAAACACTCTGAAAGAAAGTATTACGCTAAATCGGAAAATTAATTAAGAATTAAAGTATTTTTCGTTCATGTTCTTGTTAAAACTAATATTATACAAAATATATATATTATATTTTTAATTGTGAACACATTTGTAAAATAATCTAACAAAATTAGTAATCAAAACGGAATAAAAAAATTAAAATCATATTAAATTTTTTTTTTGTATATTCAATAATATTTTTGCGAGGAGTGAAACCAACAGAATATTGCCTTGTTAAAGAAATAATTCCAGCTCTTAAGGGCCGATTATTAATGCTTGATTAATTAATTGTATAGAATTCATAAGACTTCAAAGACTAAGTCTCAAATCTGTACAAGCTGCCAATATATTTTGTTCAGTGTACCTAAGCGGAAGACCCCAAAGGGATAGATAGCATTAACATAAACATAAACAGCAACGTGTGTGTGACATTTGGGGCATTTCCTTTATGTTTGTGTCCCTTCTTTATGGAAATGTATGCAAATCTAATTGCAGGGAAATTGGGAAGTGAGGAAACGGGTGGAAGGGATAACATAAATAACAATTTGTTGGACTCGGATTGAGGACCCTTGGAATGCCCTCAAAATGAGTTAGTGGCTGTGTTTGAAATTCAATTTCAAAGTGCTGCATAATTTATCAGAGCACTCCACTTCCTCACCACCCGCAATGGCAAAAGTTAATAACATTTTTTCGAGGTGCCTCGGGGCTTACAGCATATTGGGTAATTTTTTTTCATTAAACCTGATGAAAGGACCTGTGCGAGTGTGAGTGCATCTGTTTTTCTCATTTGTTTGCGAACAGAAACAAAAACAATAATGAAAAACTACACAAGTGTGGTTGAAAATCATTTTGTTTGGCATTGAACGATGTGGTAAGAGCACCCATCAATGTGAAATGGATTTACTCTCGAGAGCTCGGGCCCGTGTCAGCTGGAAAGTCAGAAAACTTTAACGTCCCAGTTGACTTTCGGGGCCTCTCTCTGTTTGCCGACTTCAATTTATTGATTTATGCCCCCGAAATGTTTCAAATGCGAAATCCCTTGTGGATGCCACACATGTGCCATTATCGCACCCCGAAATCGACAACGCCTTCCTTTTTACAAAAAAAAAAAAACATCTTGAGCTGGAATTCATATACAATACATACAGTATTTGTAATTTCTGACACACAAGCAATAGAATGTGGGGAATCTGTCAAATTTTTGTTTGCCAAGAAGAACTTTTTAAGCACACCACGCTGGCATATGACAATGTGATTTATTATCGAGCAGACGCTTTAAATGTCACTCTGGAGTGGAGAAATGTCAATATAACGAGACGAGCATCCGCATCAGCATTTTGTCCATACATTCGAATGGGCAAAAGTGCAGGAGAATGAAAAGAACGGAAAAAGCGGAACCAGAGACAGTTAAATTGATGATTGGCTGGCAGCAGGCCAGAGACATAAACGGCAACGGGGAGATTTCAATTAATTTCTGCTTTATTGACACAAATGAACGACTCGACGAGCTGCCTCACTTTCACTTTGCTCTCAGAGCTTTAGCGTTTGCAAATGGGCGCACATGGCGTATGAGTGACGACAATGAATTAGCACAGCAAAAAGCAGACTGCTCGAGGACTCAAAGTTTAATTGAAAGTAAAAGTTCAATAAAGTAAAAAGTAAGCTCGGAAAATGAACAAAGCAAATATAAAATCCTTGTGGAATGGGAAAAACTTCAGAGGCAACTTGACAATGACAGAGCCAAACTTTCTGACAATGTTTCGTTGTTTGTTGCTGTCTTATGTTTTGTAAACACATGCATGACCCATGTGAGACAGCCAAAGTCACAACAACTCGATAGCACTTTGGCATACAGAAGAAAGTAAGGAAAGTAAGGACGCAAAAAGAAAAAATTCTTTAAGACACTTGTTTTGCAATCCAGAATATGGCATACACTGGCGAGAAGAAAGGCTATCCCTTAACATATTAGAAAAAAACGAGGACGGAAGCTAACTTCGGCAAGCCGAAGTTTTAATACCCTTGCAGACTTTGCCGAAGTTGCTAAAACTGAAAAAGTAGCGAAAGGAATAAGATATACATAAATAAACTAGATTTGCGTCGTTTGATGTCAATTGCTTTTATACTGCAAAAATGTCATATAAAAATGGAAAAAAAGGGATACTTTCGCAGCCTTTAACTATTTTTCCTACGGAAGCTATAAGAAATAGACGTCCGATCGGCAAGCGCTTTTACCCTAATCAAGATATGCGTAAATAAATAAGACTTGGAATAATGTATGTCAGTAGCTTACACTATACGCGAAAAATTCAGAAAACCAACAAATTTGGACCGATTTCACCCTGTTGTTCCTATGGGAGCTGTAGGATATAGACGTCCGATCGTCACGTGCTTTTACCCTAATCAAGGTATGCATAAAAAAATACGATTTGGAAAGATTCATGTCAATTGCTTATATACTGTGCGAAATATCCTAAAAATCATTAAATTTTAACCGATTTCACCGTATTGTTCCTATGGGAGCTATAGGATATAGACGTCCGATCGCCAAGCGCTTTTACCCTGATCAAGGTATGCATAAAAAAATAAGATTTGGAAAGATTTATGTTAATAGCTTTTACACTGCGCGAAATATCTTCCATTCTTGAAAGTTATATCCGATTGTTCCTATGGGAGCTATAGGATATAGACGTCCGATCGCCACGCGCTTTTACCCTAATCAAGGTATGCATAAAAAAATACGATTTGGAAAGATTCATGTCAATTGCTTATATACTGTGCGAAATATCCTAAAAATCATTAAATTTTAACCGATTTCACCGTATTGTTCCTATGGGAGCTATAGGATATAGACGTCCGATCGCCAAGCGCTTTTACCCTGATCAAGGTATGCATAAAAAAATAAGATTTGGAAAGATTTATGTTAATAGCTTTTACACTGCGCGAAATATCTTCCATTCTTGAAAGTTATATCCGATTGTTCCTATGGGAGCTATAGGATATAGACGTCCGATCGGGGCGATTTTCAAACTTGATCTGCGTACACTTGTTTTAGGACGACTGTGAAAGTTTCAGATCGCTAGCTTTTAAACTGAGCTCGCAAACGGTATTGAAACAGACGGACAGACGGACAGACGGACAGACGGACAGACGGACAGACGGACATGGCTATATCAACTCAGGAGGTGATCCTGATCAAGAATATATATACTTTATAGGGTCGGAAACGTCTCCTTCACTGCGTTACAAACTTCTGACCAAAATTATAATACCCTCTGCAAGGGTATAATAATAGTCAGACTTTTAAAAATGAATTAAATGGTTTATTTATAGCTTCTAAAAATATCTTAGATTTTTCCGTTTATGTTAGAATACCACTAGCTAAACATTAATAATAACAACTCAAACATGGCCCGCAAAGTTGGCTTCACAAGCAAATATAGTTACCATTTAGCCCCAACTTCTGTGGTTTCGTTGGCCAAACAAGACGACAAAGTTGTGATACCTTGTGGGCACCCAATGCAAGCAAGTGCTTTCCCCACCCTTTAAAGGTGGAGAGAAGAAAAAGCAGCCCAGACTGCCTTGGAATAGACACTCTTACAGTCACTTTCCTCGAGTCATGCCCATTTCCACCTCCACCTCCACGCCCATTTCCATTCCCGTTCTCGGATGGCGGCAGCACTTTGCCAACTGCCTTGAGTGACTGATAGTTGTTTGCCCGTTTGTTTGTCCAACTCGCACTTATACATGTACTGAAGATACACACGAGAAAAATTCAATGTCAAAAGGATAATCACATGATAATGGCAGTATTAAAGGAATCCTGTCTAGTGCCACAATATACAGTGCCAAAGTAGTGAAATAATGGTGAATGGTGAAATATATTTATTGTAAGGATGAGAAAAAGTCCTCCTTAAAGTTGGTTTTAAACTGCAAAAATCCATAGGCTTACCCATTATGTTTTTTCCTTTAAGTAGGTTTTTAATACTTTTAACTTTACGTGAAGACAAGAAAACGGGCATAAGAGTAATTTTCATTCAAAGATATATTGAAATATTTTTTTTAGCTTTAAGATTTATTAATATTTTTTAAATATAATTCTCACCGTGTACTTTATGTGGCACATATATCCTTGGAGGCGACGTTCGGTCCATTTCGCCGAGTTTGCGTTTGTGTTCATGTTATCTATCCATCTGTCTATTTGCCTGCGCTTACTTCGCATTTGTTCTACTGTTTGCCTTGTAGTTATGTGCCGTTGTTTGTTGTTGCTAAATTACTGGCGCTGCCTTTGTTTTAGCTGCTCGGTTCCTCCTGTTTTGACAGCAAGTTAGTCAACACAGTCCTCGGGGGGCTGGACCTGCTCCCTTTCCCGCTTTAACATCCACCCATCCAAAAAACCCTTCCCACGTCATGTTGGCTTAAACGCATTTCCGCTGCAAATAATACTCGGACTTCTGCCTGCCGTCTCCTTCGTCCTTCGCTGCACGGAAAACACAATCCGACAATTGCCCCGAGTCCGGAGGGGGAACATAACACAAGGATTCTGACCTCCGGGGACAGCGCCATCAAAGCCAAAGCCAATCTCATAGACGTCGTCGATGTCTGCGGCTGTGTCGGAAATTTTATGTATCCTGCAACTGCTGTTGCCACAGCACTGTGGAAAGGGATACCAAATATTTGTATAAAACAGGGATTGATTTTAAAATAATATAAAAATAATATAAAATGTGTCAAATTTTTTTGGCTTAAGATTTTGTATGCTAGTTTCTCAACTAAAGAGCCCATCCTTGTAAATCCATTAATATGTATTTTAAATTAATTTAAGGCAATATTTTTACGATTTTATATTTGCTGTTTAGAAACTATTTTGTTAATGACGAAAAGAGGGTAAAATAATAATTTCTGTGAAAGTACCATTTGCGATTTAACTTCTAAAATGTTAAAATTTTAAACTAATAATTTAGTCAGCATTTTAAAATATCCTTTCCATAGTCCTGGCTGCGCTGCTCCTGCCGCTGCATTGTTTTATTGTCGCCGTCGGCTACTTCGTTCATTATTTCGACACTTGATGCCGGTTCCCGGATGCCCAGGCTACAGGACGATGTTCTGTGGTCATGTTTGTGAAAATGACAGCAAATTATTGAAGACAGCGCCGGCAAGGAAGTGGGTAAAGTTACGCAATTAGGGAGAGCTCGTCACGTAGCGTCAGACATTTTAAGGAATTCTGCCTCGTAAAGTGTGGCAATTTTAACAGCTCTATATACAGCTGCAGTTAATAACTTCGATTGGACGGCGACCCTGATAAACGCGTTTTATGAACGCCATTCCCTTTTCCCTTTTGTACAATTTTCCCTGCAACATTTTGTTGGGTCCTAGCGAAGGAATAAAAAATATTTCACTGTTATTTGCTATAAATGAATATAACGTCCGAGCTGTAATCAAGACCAGCTGCTGACAATGGTCTGGTCCATTTTTTCTGCTTATTCCCGCCTTCTGTTCTGTTTGCCCTTCGCTCTTTATTCTCCTTTTTTTTTTTGAGGGTTTTCGGATGCTTGCAGATTTTGTTTCGTTGCTCCAGACTTATTATTGCGATTTTCTGGGTGTGGTGCTGGCGAAAATGACCCACGTTAATGTCCGCGCACCGCAATCAAGAAAAGATGGGACGAACGGAGAGGAAGGTCATTAAAACACTGCTCTCTGCCATTTACAACTTGCAGTTTTTCAAGGAAATCGCTTAGCATTAATTTGATTACGATTTGAGCATTAAAGTCGGGCTCTTCTCCTCGTATTAGTACAAATGCTGATGTGTGATAATAAAATATTAATGGGGGATCATAACTGGATGATTATGCAGTAAACATTCTAGCTAATTTGTATACGTTTATTGAAGATTCTGTAATTTATACAGCTGTAAAAAACCTAAGGGGTGCAAGATTTCCTTAATAAAAAGTATAATGGTTATATATTTTACGAATTTATTTGTATAAAAGTTAAAAATATTTAGAAAAGCACCCATTCCTTACCCTAAAGGCGAAATTTATGTGATCAAAAAATACAACCTCCAAGTAAAACATGACCCCTCAAACATTAAACATTCGCTTGAGGAAGGAGCACAAATCTAAATCGCTTTAAGCTAAATCCTCTCAAGCTCACACTCCAGTTTCAGATACACCTTGGGAAAGATTAATTCGCAATTTATTTGCTTTAATGCCAGCCATGGAGGGTGAAATCAGGAGACGCGGCAACACTTTCAGGACCTCACTTCCCTGCTGAAATACACATTTTTCATTTCCAGCTCCGTAGAGTTTAGGCAATGCAAAAGCAATTTACAAATTGAATTTATTTCTGTGTAGCTGCAAATATGTTTATGGCAATTTATATTTGTGACCCGCTTCGTGGCTCCGCATCCCGGATCCCCTCATAATTGCCCCCTCTGTGTTCCTGGTGCTGCTAAAACTGAAATTAATGTCAACTAAGCAGCAATTTGCGTACCAACTGTAAATTCTGAGTGTTTTCTGGAAGAATTATAACTCTGCGAATGTTACAGAGCGGTTCGTGAATTTATGTAATTTGTTTTCATAATGGCAATTTTGTTGAATTAAATTGTCATTAGGCTGCTGATCATGGAATTAAAAATTAATTTCAGCATGTTTATTTGCAGCTGTTGGGATTAGAGAGATACTATGGGAAACAATGGCCAAATGTCAGAATACCATACTTGTTTAAATTCGTTATAAGATTTCCAATCGATTGAAAATGTTTCTGAATAAATTATTTTCGGTCAAAAGATAAACTTTCCTCAATCAACCTGGAATTGATAGTTATGTCTATTTTTCCCAAAAAAATTATAAAAATTATGAAAAAGACCAGAATCCGGAAGATTCGGAAACATTAACTTTTATTTGGTTTTTTTCTTTAATTCCTGGGAAATAATGGTCGCATGTTGGAGTGGAATACTCCTTTGAATTCGTTATAAAATTTCCAATCAACTGGCATTTACATCTCAAAAATTTAATTTTGGTCGATTTTTCGTAAAAAATGATGAAGTAACCCCTTATTAAAAATGCCAAAATCTGGAAGATCTGGGAAAATCAACTTTTATGTCGGTTTATTGATCAAAACCCAGGGAAATAATGGTCGGATGTTGGAGTGTCATACCTCGTTGAATTCGTTACAAAATGTACAATCAACTGGCATTTACAGCTCAAAAATTTAATTTTGGTCGATTTTATGCAAAAAAAAACATGAGTAACCACTTTAAAAGAAAGGCAAAAATCGGTCAAAAATAAATTTTTTCAAATCAACATGGAATAGGTATTTTAGGTCATCAGTTGCATATAACAGTCATTCTTAACCCCTCAAAGCAGATGGTATGGCTATATCAACTCGGATAGTAATTCTGATCAAGAATATATACTTTGCAAAGTTTTATTCTTTCATGATAATGAAAAGATAAATTACAATAAAGTTAACATTTTACGCTAGCAGTTATTGTTCATAATATTTAACTTTTATTGACAGCAACATGTTTTTCCATAAAGGAATTATTTTTGCTTCCCAGTAATAACAAAGTTTAAAACTATGAAATAAGTTTGCGTTCAATAAAATATTGAACGAAAAATCCATCGTTGTTTCGACTAGAGCAGCTGAACCCAGATATAACTATCGAGGACGTAGTTTAAAACTCTGGCGGAAATGAATTAGTTTGTCGCCAGTTTATGACCCCCACATTCGACCCAAAGAAATGTCATAAAATCATATAAATTTCATTTCACAATTTCCGCATGCAATTTGGCGTGGCACAAATGCGGCCCACACAATGCGGCATTCCAGCCCCACAGTATACACCCACACACCCACTCGGAACCGGATTTTCATGTTACCTTGCACTGCTTGCATTGTTTTTTACACTTCTGTTTTTCTTTTTTTTTTTTTTTTTTCAGTGCCATGGCCGATGGCATCCTCACCGACAACCCGCATTTGGTGCTCCTGTTCTACATGGCCCAGTTGTTCCTACGTGAACTTGTGAAAAGTTATCGTCTCATACAAGTCGTGCCAATGGATATGTCCGGCTATTATGGTAAGTTTAATGCAACACCAACGCACGATTCCCTGCCAACTGGGACCATGTTTCAGCTGTCGCCATGCCGATTGCGGGTCATTTCAAAACTGCTGCTGCCAGCAAAAATCAAAGTCAGACAAGGACTTTGGCAAATGGAGTTGAGTTAGGTTTAAATAATTGGTTTAAAGACATTTCGGTTATAATTATCGTGCAGTTATTTGAACCTCTCCTAACTTTAGAGACCCTTTCTTTTCTTGAAATTTGATTTGCACAACTAAATAACCCAAATAAAAGTAGTTGCTTTAAAGAAACTATAATTTTTATGTATGTTTTAAAATAAATAAACTTTAAAGAAACTATAACTTTTCCGTAGGTATCAGGATAAATAAAAAAGCTATGTACCTGTATATAATATAGTTTTAGAGCGTGGAAATATTTCAACTTTAGAGATCTAACAGCACAAGTATTTCCCTGCATTCCGAGTAGGACTTAACGAGGATGGCGTTTCTTTGACATTGCCATTCAGGGCAGCATTCACTCACTCAGGAACAGACACTGGGTGCACGTTCAACAATTGTTTGGCATACTTGGTGCTGCAGTTGCGATTCTGTGTGTCCTGGTCCTGGCTGTGATTGCCATTCTTTTGCCAAGTTTAATGTGCACGTGCGAGCGCAAAAATATGCAGAGCCAAACTTCGAACTGATTTGTCGCCAGGCTGACCATGGAAAATGCCCGAGAATACAAATGCGAACGCAAATGTCAAATGCCAATTGCTGATCATAAATTTTTAAATTACAACCACTGCGCTGTTACTGGTTTCTCACTGTCAACACAACCGGAAAATTGGGGAATGGGTTGTAAATATTTGCAGAGTCTCTATCTCTGGGCCCTCGATGTTGGTGCAGTGAATTTACAACGCACCCGCGCTCAGCCATCGGAACAAACAAATATCTGCAGTGCCATGAAAACGCCATCAACGCAGAATAAGCAATAAAAAATTCAAAAATTGAAAACCCTTTTTTTGCTTGTTGCGTTTGTCTGTTATAATTGCAAACCAAAAAATACGCAAAATTGACAGGGCAGTGAGATAGTAGGTGATGCGATGGCAGCTTTATGTGGACCTTTAATTATTGCCATGCTGTCGAAAATTCATTGCCTACCAGGGCTTACACAAAAATTAGTTCTGAGAATAGCGCTATAAAATACCCTTTAGAGAAATAAATCATATAATTACCAAAGAAAGAAAATGTTACTTTAATAAACAAGTAATATTGATGAGGTTTTTATATAACTTGACTACTTTAAAAACAATATGCCCCCTAACTCAGCTGATACCCTGAATTAAAATAGCAAGCGATGAATGCTGGTCATGCATTCCCGCCAAACGATGAAATATGAATATTGCGCATACGCCGCATTGGACGATCGAATAGATTGCAATGCATTGATGCATGCAGCTCAGCAAGTTTTACTAAGTAATTAATTCGACCATGGCTGATGAAGATTGATGGACGATCGAATATTGATTGCAATCAATCAAAGGGAAATCGTATAAACAACTAAGACTAATGGTGAAACTCTTCGGATAGATTGTCCAATAATTGATACAACTTTTATCATATCTTTTTTTTTAAGTACACTTTTCAACTTTTGATCATTAAATTAGGCAAAGTTAAAGCCAAAAGTTGAATTCAGGCAAAACACAGACAGACTTCAAAGCGGGGCACAAATAAAACGCAAAAGCTAATGAAGCAGCCAAAGAACGGAAATAAATAAAACGTGGGGAATGCAAACGTCAAAAGAAAATGTTTGCATAAAAATGAATGAAACAAATAAAAGCGGCTTCCTGTGGCTGCGGCCAAGTCAAACAAAATGGTTTATTTTTGTGCCATGCGAAGGGAAAATGTTGTGCAAAGAGGAGCTTGACCCTGCTGCACCTTTTGGCTTAGTGGCAGCTTATCACTTGACTCTAATATATATCCTCTGGATTTTGGTTTTTTCTTTTCTATCTTTTACAGAGAACCGAGCCGGGCCCTCGAACCTGGGCAATGTCATCAGCCAGATATTATTGTGCAAACAGTTTACGCCCGACTTCAACGAGGAGGAATTGTGCAGCATAACCAAAGACTCCCAGGACATTGCCGTGCTCCTCTCCGAGATGCAGGAGTACATGCCGCAGCACGAGGCGTACTTGGGTGAGTGCTCCAAGTGCGCAGGCTCCCAGGCTCGTGCCCAAGTCCATGCCCCTTGTCCCTGCCCCATGACCGTGCTTCATGTCCATGCCACATGTCCATTGCTCCGGCGACTGCAATGCCATTGCCGTGCACTTTGGTATTTGGCCAAGGCCCGACGAGCAAACAAAATTGTATGGCACACCAAAAAGGGCAAAGCTGCGCACAAAAACTGGACAGGCTATTTAAGTCTATAGCTGCAGTGCATAGGCTTACCATAATTTTCCATAACAAATGTTACTTTTATATACAGTGGCTAGTTCTGAATAAACTTTACTTAAAAATTACACGCCAAAGAAAGCTAGAAACATTAATAAAGACCATATATGCTTTAGATTCTGATCAATAATTTAAGAATATTTTCTACAATATAATTTGGTTTTATGTTGAAGAAAATAATTTTATAAAACCAAGAGATTTGAAACAAAATGTTTATTTACTCTTTAAATTCTGTTACTAGCCAGATTTTGTATGTGACTTTCGAACTAGTTTTTGTTGAAAATCTATTGAAGTTTCTGTGGCAGTAATATTAAAGGTTGATACACTGTTTAAGGTATTATAATAATATACTACTATAATAATATTAAAAGTATTTAAACAAATTCTTGCCTATCCAAAATTAACAACCCAAACAAAAAATCCTTAATGCACTGTGAACAAATTTACTGCTGAGCTGTTTGCCTGTGACTGCAAGGGACATTTTCCAGGAAATTTTTTTCCCTGTGCATAGCTCATTCATACATTTGCTTTTCCCCCAAACTTATTAATTAATGAAGCCCAATGTTTACTCTTCCATGTGGTGTTTGCAGAACGCAACGCGGCACTGGACACAACTGGACCCTGGCAGGCGAAGCGGCGCCAGAACTACATCTGCAAGAACATGAGCCTGCTCTGCTGCGTCTCCAGGCCCAACTATCTCTGAGAGCAGGCCGATAGTGTGTAGTCCGAGCCGGGCTAGGTGGGACAATGGAATGGTCACCGCACGCACCCACTACTTATATCAATTACTAGCGCCTAAGCTGAGCCTGCAAACCCGACATAGAGGAAATTCTTGATCTTAAGCCGAGGAGCGAGGAGGAACACTCAATTAGCATTGTAACATAATCAAAGGTCAATGGCAGTGGCAGGAAGGCGATGTGCTTCTCCTCCCAGCGACATGTGTATAATCAAAGTTAATTATGCTGCATATACAATATTACCAATTACACAATACGGATATGGATATATACTATATATAGACACGTTTAACTAGTGGAATGGAGCCAGTTAAGACTTTTTAGGCCAATAAACTGTAGTCATTGTATAGACCCGAGCAAAACCACACACACACACACATTATCCGGAAATGGTATAACCCTTGAGTTAACATTAAGATTAAACAGAGGCTGGGCCGATGGACCGATGGATGCTGGGAGCAAATGGCAGTTTGTGGTAGTTCAAAACGATTGTAGCCTTCGTAATTAAGTTAAAAGCCTGGCCAGGCAAGTGCTAAACAGAAGCAATAACAAACATGTTACTCAAACAGAAGTATGTATATCTAACCAAATAGAAGTGTAATTGAAATGTCTCTAGGTTTCCGTTTGTTCATTTCACGGTTTTAAAGTGAACTCTGCACAGTACCTAAAACCAAAAAAAAAACAAATAATTGAACAACAAACGAGCAACGTGTGACCAATAAATAAATCTGTTTAAAAAACAAGGTTTTATAACAAATCAATATCCCATTCTCAAATGATAATAATAAATTCTGTGAATGTAGGAGGCAACAAAGAATTTCAATCAGCCAACCTTGTTAATATTTAAGCAACCAATAAATATTAGTTTCAGCATAAAGGATTAATTTCAAATATTAGTTAGATCTATCACAAACAGAGATTGTCTAACCAATTAAAGCGTAATAGGTTTTTTATTTAAATTGAAATAGATGAGACCAAAAATGTAACAATTAAATTATTAAAGATAGCATTTTTACTCCCTTAAAATTTTTGTTTGCCGATGAGGCTGAAAAATGCATGTAAAATAAAGCAATTGCTGGCAAATAAAATTATTGCACGGCCAAAATAAATAATTAGGAGCCTATTGTGTTTTCGGTTCTATTTAAATCGCATTAAAACTGCACAAACTGTATTTTTACAAATTATAATATGCTTTTAAATTATAATATGCTTTTAAACAACCGCAGCCCAGCAAATGAAGAACTCATAAGTTGGTTGCATTAAAAGCGAAAACAAATTTTCATTTAAATGCATTTTTCATTTGTTGAGTACATACTTTCGGTATGGGCCGCATATTTAATGGAAATTAATTGAAGGATATTTTTTATGGTGCCAATTGAACTGGCAGGAAGTGCGCAGAATTTGTTTAACATTGTAAATCAATTTGTTGTGCAAACAAGTAAGAGCTGATCAACTATGCATGGGCTCTCAACAATTGTTGAACCGCTGAAATGACAATGAAAATGTAAAAACTCTGTTAGAACGCCCGAAACACAATGGGTCAAGTAGCTGGCAAATATCTGTACATACTTGCAGCCCAATAGAATGTATTTATTATAAAACAGATTAAAGTTCATTATTATCGAAACGTAGTACAGATTATTTAATAATTTTTATTTACTTATTCGATTCTAGGCATAAATCAAACACCAAACAAATTTACACGTCTTTAGAGAAGATAGTTCTAAAATAGTATGTTTATAATATTAATAATTATTTACCTGTATATGAATGTATATTGCTTAGATCGTTTAAATAGGTATTCCATCAACAAGCCGTGATTGTTATATGATATTCATATAAGAATTATCTAAATGTATTTATTAAATGTTTGTTCATGTTGTTTGAAACTAAATGCCACTGAGAAGTAACTCAAAAACTCACACACTAGCAACAAGAAACTAAAAACCGAAACTAATTACCAAACTGGGTACCAATCAAATATGAATAAAGCTATTTTTAGAGAAACTAAAGCCAAGTCTTGAATTTATTTCATGTTCTCGGGGGCTTAAAGCTCTGAAAAAGGGCCAAGAGCGTTAAATTGCGGCCAAACGTGTAACTCAGAATTTATTACACTTCATAAAAGAGCGATTAATGTTTATAGATGTGATTTTATCACGAACACCCAAGCAACGATATATATGTAAAAGCACATAAAGATGGAAGATTGCTGCCGTTTGAATACTCGAAGGGTTGATACCTGAAAGGTTCCTTCTGAATTCTGTTTAAGAAATATTAAGATGTTTTATTTATTTTGTATTAAAACTAAATTTATATCTCATATTTTTAGCTGTACAACTAATATAAAAAAAGAGGAGAAATGAAAAGGTTATATATATCCCTAGGATTCAAATTATATTTAGTTTACTTTTTCTTGAACGTTATGCTTACACATCTTTGATTTATTTTAACCTTTGCCACATCAGGTTCGTATATACCCCTCCACATACCCTTTGACCTGGTGCATAAAATGGTTTAGCTTAAAGGACTCCAGGAGGTGCCGAACTACGTAACAAGGCATTGAGGACAAGCCAACGTGTTCGACAATAGATACGTCTTAATCAATCTTAACCTGATGCCAAGTGGCAAAGTGGCAGCATTCCAGGACCCCGTCGCCGTGTTTATTTTAAACGCACTGTTTGACAGGGAAAAGCCAAAGCTTATCCTTAGGCTAGCGCGACGAACTTGGCTTAAAAGTTGCAGGTAGGAAACGGGGCCCAATGCAAATTGCATGGTCACGTAGGTTTGGCGTCGAGCGCACAGAACTCTATGTAAATTAGTTGGGAAAGTTACGGCAGCGAATGCCTTTTGATGTGGCAAGGTCGGGTATCGGGGATCGGGGAGGGGGGATCGGGAATCGAGAGGCGGTGCTGCGAAACGAAAGGGGCTGAAGCCGTTTGCCAGTACGTGCCGTTTTGGCCAAAATGCTTCATTTACCGCACACACTTGGACACCTTGCTCGACATTGGCATTGGCTGTGGTTTCGGCCCGGCTTTCTGGCTCCTCCTGTCTCTGACTGCGGCTACTGCGGGCTTATTCCTCAGTCAGACGTGAGGTGTTAATAGATTTACGTGGTGCCTGTGCCTCATGGGCCTTCTGGTTGTACTCCTTGCCACGTTTGAGTGCGTACTCCATCAAGTGCAGTGAGAAAAAGTGGGGTAATTAGAAAGGCTTAAAGGCATAAAGGTGTGGGTAGAAATAATAGTAGCTTTTAGAAAATGAATTACCACCAACAAAGTATCAGTAATATTTCAGATATCTTTGATATATAGGTAGATTTATTCATTCAAATACACAAATCAATTGGGTACAAATTTCTTTACAAATGAAATAAATAATTTTTTAATATTCTGTGTTACTCTTAACTTAAATTGATCGTTCACTGTTATTGCGTTCACTAAAAATCTTATCATAGTTTTTAAAATATTTATTCGCTAGTACTCATTGCTGAGCTGTCCATATAAATTGTTATTTTGTTTTTAAAAGTATAGAGTAATACTTATTAAGTGAATATATTAACATTTTTTGTGAAAATGTATACATTTCTTATATAAATTTGCAGCTTAAATAACTTAATCTGGGATTATTTTTGTAACGCATTGTGTACCACTATATTTTCCTGCGTGTAAACTGCTAAATGACAATGGGGCACGCATGCCGTGGCTGTGGCAGCACTCGCGCGACTCATTATGCTCCGCAATGAAGCGAAAATAAAAAATAAAAAGTGAAAGAGCCCCAAAAAAAATTTGCAATTCAAAGTAAACAAAAAGCAAGCACAACAGCAGCAGAAGTTAAAACAACAGGAGAGGATGGCGTCAAAAGTTGGCTAAGCAGAACGGAAGTTGACATTATTTTTATTTTCTCCCGTTTGTTTTGTGTATGTGTGTGTGTTTTCTTTTGATGTGTATGTTTTTATTTTTTTTGTGTGTGTGTGGGGAGGGGAAGCCTCTGCTTTTGAATGGAGTTGAGTGGCCAGCAAACAAGTTGTCGGTGCCAGCGGAACCCAGCTCCCACTGTGTATTTATTCGTGTATGAGGGTCTGTGTGCGTCAAAGCCAAAATAAATGCCAACAGGGATAATTCTGGGGTAATCCGATTTAGTGCGTTGCCCGCTGCTGGTCCTCCGGCTGCGTGGCGCACCCAAAAAACCCTCTTGATTATGTCCCGCTGCCCCTGTCTCTGTCCCCACTCCACCGCGACTCTCTATCGTTGTCCCGGGCACTTACTAGCCAGCTGATGCTGGTTAGATGGCCAGCGATTCATACCGGACACAGTGGGGCAGGTCCAAGATATCTTGCTGAATCAACAAACTTTTGCAGTAAATTTCCCATAAAATTATAGAACCCTTTACTATGTTGTTACATTTTGTACTGTATTGACTGGAGTTCACTACAATTGATGTTTAAATTTTAAGTTTATATCAATATACGCTTGCTGCATTGAATGGTAAGCAGTTGGTCTTATTAACAATTTATTGATTCATTTAAACTAAACAATCATTTGAGCACTTTAACTGTAGCATTTTTTGAAACAATAAAATTGTATGTGTAAAAAGAACTTAAGGGAACTTTTAATAGTGTTACTATAATTTTTATTAAAATTATTTATTACTTAACAACGATTGTTAAGTTTTTTTCAGGTGGTCTAATAAAGTGAAATTTTTAAAATAAACTAGTTATTAGAATATATATATAGTTTCTGCTTTAGTGCTTACTCTAATCTCTTGGTGAAAGGGTCGAGATGTATTTTCCAGTAAAGTGTAGATCTACGATTTGTTCCACTGTTTGACACTCAATGTTTTTGTCCCATTTTTGTTTGAGAGTATATGCTCTGGGTGTGTTGGTTTTTGCAACGCAGTCCTGACTTTTTAATGTTGTTTGATGCGTTTCGTGGTCGGTGAATTTTGTTTGGAACCCACAAAGTTGTTTTGTGCCACCGCCGCCTTCCCCTTTTCATTACTTTTGTGCGCCCAAAAATTAAAAACATAATTTTCATGTTGCCGTGCGCATTGTTGCTGCCTTTTGCATAATTGAATAACGTAGTCGGGCGGAATGACAATATCGACTGGGGGTGAGTTGGTGGCTTTTGTGTCTGTGGCTGTGGTCCCCTGCCAACTGCGGTCTTTAAGACAAACGCCGAGGCTATTGTACAAATAAGCACGGCCAAAATCCGTCTCAGACGGCCGCAATTGCTCTTAGTGTTCCCAAATGAGAATGGAAATCGAGCGCTGACCTCGAGTTGTATTGTTTCATCGCTATCTTATCAAATGCTTCGTTTCGCAGGAGTGCGTCCTTAAAGTCTGCGGAATAGCCACAAATTTAAAAGCCTAATTTTTGGGGTAATGGCGGTTTAGAGCTTCCGTGGGTACTTAAACCGCACACGTGGCGTATGCGCAATAAAACTGCTTTAGCGATAGCTAATCATTGAAGTACATTGATTACGGAACGTCTTAAAGTCATTAATTAAAGACCACGTTTTTGGTTAGCAATCTCAAGTATTTCGATTTTATTTCGTTGTGCTCCCTGACTTCCTTTTTGCGGCATCCTTCTATCACAACAACTGGAAATCATTTTTGCAAAGCAAAAAACCACTTCGCATTGCTGGCACAAATGTTCTAGTTTCGTTTTGCTTTTTCGTTTAGAAATGCACAAAGGAATGCCGCAAAGTGGGTGAAGTGGGTAGCGCGATGCCCGTTAAAAATGCATTCGTGCTGCTTTTTGTGCGAACTGCATGCGATAAACTTTATAATTCAATTGTGGTTCTCCAAGTCGTATGTCGCGTCAAAGCCAAGGCATGGCTTGTAATTTTAAAACTGAATTAAAGCACTTGTAGCTTAACCGCAAAACCACCGACTTAAATCAGCCGGTTAGTGGTTCAGCTCAGTTTTTTGTGGTACTCGTTGGCTACCGCAAACATTCCACACCTCACAACTTGAATGCCGCCCGCAATCGTGACAACCTTCGAAGCGGCTTTTAAGCGTATTGAAGAGATTTTAGTTGATTTGCTTGTACGTTCAACAAATTAATTGATTGGCTAAATAAGAACTTACAAAGGTGGATTAATGGACTTAAATACGTATTGCAAGAAAGTTCTTAAAAAAAAATAATCCTAAACTAACACCGCTTACCAATTTTTTGGATAAGAATAAAAAAATGACAATAATTAATTTATTATTCCAATTTCCGTTAGGTTTAATTTATATCGTACATTTATAGCAGTTAGCTTTTGCCAGCTGAATATGGTTCATGTCCAAATTACAGTTTGCTTTATTTTTCCTTTAGATGTCGCTCAAGAACGTATGGACAAAAAAATGTATGTAAAATGTATTTGGGAAATAATAGCTTCCAAAAATAACCGATAGTGGGCGCTCAAACATTGGAGCCAATTCAAATAAAACGAATATTTAGCGGTTAATTCATTGCATAAATTAATCAAACGAATTTTCAACTGAACTCAATTTCAAAAATATTAAATATTAAATTAAATAAACTTAAGGTGTGTACTAATCTTTTGGTTTTAAGATATTATGTTTTCGGGACCATAGATGTAGTGCAACTGGTTGGAATCGGCTTGCTGATGGCAAACGGGGCAGGCTTCAGCGTTTGAAAGGACTTCGCGGATGCAGCATTCGCCGAAGAGATGTCCGCAGTACAAAGAGATTCGTCGATGGTCGCTATCCGCCTGCCAGGGCTCTAGGCAGATGCAGCAGCTGTTCTCGTCCTTGATCTGCTCCAGCTTATTCTCCAGCTCAAACACTTTCTTGGCCAGCGCACTGATCTCCGCCTTCTGGAGTTCCGCGATGCACTGATTGGACTCATCCTCCTCCTCTAGCTTTTGACGCAATGCCTCATTCGTGGCCACCTCCTTCTGCAGCAGCTGCAGCAGCTCATCCCTTTCGGCGGCGAATGCTTGGTAATGGAAGGTGGTCGACTCGATTATTCCCGTGTAGATATCTCGTTTGGACTCCATCTTTCTTGTCTTTTTTTCTCGTCTTAAAAGAATTGTTCAACAGCAAGAGAGTAAAAATGCAATAATCTTATATGATTTAGTGAGAAATTTTTGATTGAAAACCCTCAGCTATCTAAGTTTTTTGAGATATTGAGAAAGCTTGGCGTATACAATCAATAATTCCTTTTGATCTTAATAGGTTTTCATCATATATTTCGGTTATACTTTAGACTTCTTAAATATTTTATTGATGTGAAGCCATAAGGAATAGGGTAATTCCTAAAACTTTCAAAAGGCTAACAATATAATTATAAATAATTTTTATGACCATTTTGCTTTATATTAACTGTTAAAAGAAAACAAAAAATGACAAATTATTTGGCCTAAAAGAACAATTAGAACAATACAATAATTAATTTAAAAAAATGATAAGAGCTGAAAATCGAAAACCTAAAATTCTGTTAAGCAAAACTTTTTTGGCCCTTCGACTGGCGCATTCGCAAATCATTTTTCGATTGAAGTTGGCAACTCACACGTCTGTCCACTCAATACCACACATATTTGCATGGTTCTCCATGAACAAGCCGTACATCCTGCGGCCATATGCGCAAATACACCTAAGTTCAAACACCTGCTAAAGTTCAAAACATCAACGGCAACGGGAACCGCAACAAGCAAACAAATGAGGGTCAAACTGCGAAAAAGGAAAACATCCTGGCCCGCCGGGCCCAACACAGGCACAGGCTAACTCGCCACTCGCACAATTCCATGCGGCACATTAACCCACAGCTTGGACTCCTCCCCTGTTTTTCTAATGCCTACTCCTCATCTCCATCCCCTTTCAATTAAGGGCAGTTGAAAAGAGGAGGGACAGGATGAACTTTGGGCATTCAACACGTCATTTTCCATTTGCAATGAGACAGCATGGTCGGAGAAAAGGGGATAGAGGTATTATTAAAATTATATATTAATAAAGTACTTTTAGGATTCTATGACTTAGTTTGTAACATAAAACTATTCATTATATATTTATTTTAAATATTAAATATTATTTTGTTTACAATACATTGAAATATTCTTTAATTAGATTCCAATCAAGATCAAACTATTTGTGTTTAAGGCATATGCTCCTGTTTGTTTTTAAATTTTTTTTTACTGTTCGTAAATTTTTGTAATTTTTATTACTTACACTAAAGTTAGTTTCATAAAATCACACTACTTTAGAGTCTCAAAATAGTATTAAATACAATTTACTTTCAACAAAGCCAGTGCAACACTCTTGAAATTTGTATTCCAACTTGACTAGTTCTTATAATTTGAATTTCCCCTTAAGCACGCCCCTGGGCGTTACGTTTTTTATGAGTTGGCTAACAGGAAGACCAGGAAGTTGCTCGTAATTCCGTTTCCGCTTGATTTACAAATATTTGCATGGCAAAACATTTTCAACAATTTTGCGGGAAAGCGGTAAAGCGAACAAAATGAAAAATACAAATACAAAAATAGAACAAAAAATCTTTACCGAAAATCGGAAGGAAAGGCAAAACTAGCAAAGTTGTTGAAATGTTTCTGACAAACTATTTTTGTGGCAAGTTGAACTTGCTCGGCATGAGATGAAGCTGATGAGTCTGACCATTGGTTTGTTAGTGTCGAACTAATATTGAAAAAATGAAAGAGAATCGAAAAATTGGAATGAGCCATAGCCTTATTGATTAGGGCAACAAGTAATAAAACATTTTATTTGAACTGCAAAAGGTCTAATTTCGATTCCTCCTTTATGTACACTATTTTAAACAGTTTCCTTTGTATTATGATTACCCTTTTTGAGATACAACGCGCAAAAGGGTAATACAAACAACAATTTACAAAATGTTTGGAATATAGACCCTAGAAAATATTTTTCCCTAAATTATGTTTTTGCTTTTAATGGACTTAAATTTGTCCATACATTTTTATCAAACTATTTTTAAGTTAAGAAAATGGAAGTGTTTTTTTTATAATTTTAAAGCAGCCACTATATTATATATATTTTTATGTTTGCATACTATTCTAATGGGCATTAATTTATTGACCGAAGTCCCCTTTCTTTGAACTAATTTGTCTATGGATTGTGTCTCAAGTTGATTTCTTTCATTGTTGCCATTTGCTTAGTTTACTTTATAGTTTGTTTCCACTTTCTGTTTGCTTATTTGCTTGCCACTTTTCTCCCCCATTCCAGAAACAGGGTCCTTTCCTGCTATTTGTTTGCCTTGCTGGCGGTAGTAGTTTTTATGAGCCGTCTTTATGTGTTGGCTGCTTGTACAGTCCTTCAGTTGACGGTGGGAAAAGTTCATAGCAAGTTTTGCAATTTGCATGTCAGTCTGGCAAAATACTTTCGAGGACCATTAATAATCAGCTGCCTGTTGCTGTAGCTGTTGCTCCACCTGCGCGGATCCTTCGCATTCGTATCTTTGACGGGGGAAAATGCATTTGCAGCATTAATCAGGGGCAAATTCGTTTGGTGGCAAGCAATCTTGTGCAAATTTACGCTAACATTGGCGCCTTACAGATCCAAAAATCGGAGACTCCCCATAGTGGCGGAAATCTGGCTCCAGATGCTTCAGTTTCCAGCAAACACAAATCTCCCTAAAGTAATTTAATGGCAACTGCGCAAAGTGCACTCTGCTATTTTTCAAATCGCCAAAGCCAGACGACGGGATTCGCTGACTTCTGGCTTGAAGTTGAAATTGAAATTGAATTGCGATTGATATTGATTGGCTGCGTGCTTGAGCGACAACTGGGCTAAATCCTGTGCAGCCAAGCAGGGATTTCCCCATCGCCAGCAAACGTCTAGTAACTTTCGCTTATTGTTGTTTCACCCACTCGCCCAAAAAGACATATAGCCAGATCCTCACCCGACTTCGGGATTTCGCTTCCATTCGAGTGCGGGCTGGCTCGAAATCGAATTTGGGAGTCCCTCAGCTCAAAGCTGAAGTCCCTTGTGCCAGGATATTCGACTATAAGTTGTGTATTGTTTAGTCAAGTGCAGCTGCTCGTGCATCTTGTTTATGTGCTGTGTAAATAGAACTCGGATGGAGCTATGAGTGGGCAACATAAATGGAAACTCAGCGCACAAATTTCTGCAATTTAATACAGGCCAATTTAAGTTTGTGAAATTAACTTAGAACGTTTTTGCACTTTTTCCTGAAACTAGCTAAACTAGCAATGGCACACTGATTCAAACTAGTAAATTTGATTTATCCATGAGTTCTTTAGTTTTTTTTCATTTCAAATTATAAATGAATTTAATCGATTTTGGTTTACCAGACATCACCATAATTTCAGGACAAGTTGTATAAAATGAAATAAAATATTTAAAGGTTTTTATAACTATAAAGTATCTATCATGATCATTATTTAATAATGTTTATATAAAACTGACTTAGTTTATATCGAATTTCTTTCCAAATTTCTGGTCCTTTTAAATGTTAATCCGAATCAGTTTCCTTTCTGGAAAAATTGTGAATATTACCATAAATTTAGTTATTTTGTACTTGTAGTACTAAGAGGTACTCACTGTCTACTGACTGACTTATAAATTTGTTCTAATTAAAGCGAACAAATCGGAGCCAGCGCACTGTGGCCAAATGCGGAAGCAATCAAACAAACGCAGTAACCAGGATTGCATTAGGATGCATACAAAAGCACTCCAGGACACCGGGGACCACAAAAGGTGCCCGTGCAAACAGGTGCAGATGGAGGTGCAGGTGCAGGAGCAGCACTTTCTGCCACAAAGAGTAGAACTGAGTGCTGGGGATGGGAATGGGGATGAAGATGGGGGAGGAGAATCCGAAGAGTCGAGCGACAATGGGAGTTCCTGCCAGGACAACGAAGGAAACAGGAAATCCTGACGACACTAAAAATATTTTCTACCAAATTTACAATATGAAGTGGCTGGCTTGAGCTGCTGCCAAAGGTGCTTGCTTATGTTTGTAATATAGTTTAGTGTGTGTGTTGCCACAGCATTCGCATAAACCTAGAAACAGCCTCACAAACTGTGTGTATGGTACATATACAAAATGTTTCACTTCATTGCGTTGACAGAAACAAACGTGGCACAGATGGAGCTGCTCCTGCTCCTGCTCCTCTGAATCCTTTTTGCCACCCATGGAACTCCATCTGTTGCTGAGTGCATTTCGAACATAATTTTCAATTTTCATGCATGTTTTGCCATTTGCTCGAGAAGTGCGAAATTGTTTCTCTATGACAGTTTTTGATTTGCTTAATGGTCGCTTGGTGATTCAGCACTGGGCAAATGTACATTTTATTTAAATCCCTGTAGTTGAAAAACACTCTGCATTCAGTGGAATTTAAGTATAAATAGAGTGCATTTTTTTCTCTTTTTTAAAGAGATTTTAATCTGTTGCAACCTGCTCACAGCAAGTACAAGCAAAACCTTTTACCAATTAACGTTATTTCTAAATTTAAAGTTTATTTAAAATTTAAAGAAAGTAAGTGTAAAGGCTTTAATGGCTGATAATGCCTAAAGCAAATGATGTCATAAAAATAGTTTTTCTTTTAATTTTAAATAAATGCTGACTATTGCTAGAATATATGGGTTAAATATAGGTAGAAGCCTAATTTAAATATAATTTTCAACTGTTTTGTTGAGTCAATTTTGAATAGATTTAAGGGCTATTTATTTTAATTGCCTAATACTTTTACATATAATTTGGCCACCCTTTTGTTCAACATGGTTGCCTTAAATGGTTTTATTAAATAAACCTTGTTAACGTTTAATTGGCTTTTACTGACAACACATGCTGTTGTTTCAATGTTGTTAAAATCATTTGGCTAAACGATTTAAATTGCTGCTCCGCGTGTTCCTGTGAGTTTGGACCAAATCATTTGATATGCGCTTTGAGACAAAGGCTAAAAATCGCTTAAAATGTGCGCAGAAGCACACAAAAACAGCGAAACCGAAACGCCATGTTAAAGTTACAGCCAAAAAGCGGGCCAACAATGGGGGAATTGTAATGGTTTCGCTTTGGGCCCCTTTCCTGCTCCTAGTTATAGTCCTACTTTGGGCGGACTTCGTTCCGCAGGCAGCATAATTAATTGCGGTAATTAGTGTGTTGGCAACAAACAGCAAACGGCAAACACACGAAAACATTCAACAACAGCAGAAGTGAAACAAACCAGCAGAAAATGCGGGAGTCGAAGGGCATTACAGATGCATTTACTTTATACAAGATTTGTGGGCCCCGACTCTGGCATATTAGTTAGTTTGTGGAGCAACTTTTATTTACGACTCCGAACTGGGAGGTGCGGTGTATCCATATAACTCGACTCTCTACTCTCGACTCTCGACTGGCGACTGTTGAAAGGCCGCCGCCGGCACTAATTTAGTTGCCCGCCTTCGCATTTCTGTGGCATCATTAGAAAGCGGAAAATGATTTTTACTGCTAAGCAAACGGCAGGGACAAACAAATCTCGGTGGCTAATAAGCTGGAGTACAAGGAGCTGAGCGGGAAAGGATACAAACCCTGGGGGATGTTGCTCCAGCTTGCCAGACTCTTTGCTGTTCGCTTTAATTGGTCACTTGGCGCGCACAGAAGAACAATTTAATTTTCGCCATTTTCTTATTATCTCGATTTTACACTCGCCATTTACACTCGTCTGTGGCAAGACTTCTTCGTTCTACTCAGCTTTATGTAATTAAGCGCTGCATAAAGGGGGCCATAGGGCGTGGCAGCCGTCTGTTGTGTGTTATTACCACCGCAGTCATTAAATCTTTTGTGTGTAATTAAAAAATTACAATTTAATGCTTTGCGCTCATTTATTGACACGGCGTGCGGTTGCTGCAAAGCATCCGCATCCGCATTCGTATTCGCATCCACATCCGCATCCTCATCCGCCCCGTGGCCAAGCAACTTGAACGAGCGGAAAATCGCGGAAAACCAAGTGGAGAAAATGTGGAACATTCTGGGGGGTATAATGAACCACTGATGGAATTCCTAATGACGCAAGGCAGCCCGATTACAAACGTGTTAAGTGTGTATTTATGGCTAGGTAAATGTTGTTAAATCTTTGTATTGCCATCGGCAGTCCAGCGTTAGTTAATTACAGATTACTTGATAATGGAAAATAATTAAGCATGCGTGCAAAATTTATATGGACTTGGACATAATGTGAGTGAGTGAATGTTTTAAAATACTAGTTTCTGGGACGGTTCTATGCAGTTTATTTGTATAAAAACTATCCACATTTAACATTCCAAATCGTATTAAGCTTGTCATCAAATTTTGGGAGATGTTGATTCCAAATTTGTATGCTTTTTCTTTTATAACTTAGTCTAAACTATAGATTCCATGTTGATTTATAAAACAAAATTTTTTTGGCAAAAAATCTACCAGAATGACAGTTTTGAGCTATGAATGCCAATCGATTGGAAATTTTATAACTAATTTAACGAGGTACGAACTTTTAACATTTGACAATTATTTTTCCAGGGTTTTGATCAAAAAACCGAAATAAAAGTTGATTTTCTGGATTTGCGAAAAATCGACTAAAATGAAATGTCTTATAATTTTTTTTGTGTTTGGAATTTTCCAAAATAACTTATCTTGAAATTCAAATTATAAATCGGCATAAAAGCTATATTAATCATTAAATTACTTACTCACATTTCCTTCTTTGCGCTGAAAACAAAAAAAATGAATTCAATTGAAGGCCTGGCCCCATGGTGTGTTGCGAAACATGTTGAGTGCCCAACTTTCGATAAGCCAAATGAAACGGAGCAGATATATGTGCAAAAAGAGGAAAACTGTGCGCTGACATGGAAATTGCATTGCCGAATGGACTCCGCTCCCCGCTCTTCACCCCCGCGCACATCGAGTTGGGATGCAGATGGGTCCGAAAGGCTTTCGCCGGCGGATGGGGAAAATAAACTGGGGCCAAGCGTTGATTTGGTCTAAAAGCTCGTGCGAAACTGACCCACTTGGGCGTTGGGTTGGCGGTTGGAGGCCTAAAATGGCCGAATGCTGTTCTTTCCACCGTATCTTTTTTTTTTTGGGTTCAGCTGTCATGGCTCAAACTGTTTACTTAAAGTGTTGGTGGCTTTATAAGCTAAGCTTTGAACTTACGCCATGCCAAACAATTTGGTGAACGGAAAATCGTAGCCTCTTTCGAAATTAAAAAGCGGGCAGATTGTTTTGAACCGCGCATATTTGCACACTAAATAGCGCCCACGTACATTCCTCATTGTGATGCGAATGGCAAAGGCCAAATGTCAATGGTTGTGCCGTTCTGCTGATGAGGGGCATCCATTTCTGTGCGTACACAGAAAAATATTTAACGCGCGGTCGGACAATAAAAGTCACTACGCACAATATGGCGTCCGTTGCCGCAGTCGCAGCGCATATCCGTATCCGCATTCGCATCCGACATTTGGCATTCAACTGATTTATGCGGCTGTCAACGCACTACCCCTATTTCGTGCCCCAAACCCCCCCCGAGTTCTACCCTTTGAACGCACATGTGGGCCTTTATTTGAGCCCCAGTTGACGTGGCTGATTGACAAGCCGGGCTCTTGGCCCAAAATGAACAGTTTGACATGAGGTCCGCGGGCTGTGAAAAACGAAGTGCAGCTTACGGGCAAAGGTAGGTGCAACAAATCAGATATTGCCTAGGCTTTGTGGAGGGATAAGGGTGACAATATTTTCAATGAATTTGTTTGCATTTGGGTAACAGCACTGTTTTATAATTTATAACTTATTTTAACTGTCAAAAACAATTTAAACTGGCGATACCTACCTATTACTCCACTTTAAATAATATTATCAAACAAACATACATAGGTGTATATTGTAATTTACTAAAAAATATTTAAAATTTTATTAAAAAGGGCTTTCCTAAGTCCTCAGCAATGATACCTTATACAATTTTTAATAAATTTTTTTTATGAACTTTAGGTGGTAGTCTTCGGCAGTTATAAAAGGTAAAAGGGCATGACCGCTGTTTTTTAAATTTCTGGATGGGGCAATCTACGCTTGACAGCGAGGTCGTATCCAGTTGGCTAAATGGATACTTGTCTTCATCATCGGTTAAAATATATTGTTTATCGATGCGGGCGATTTTCTTGATAGTCCGTTTAATACTGGCCTTCGATTTGTTTTTAAACCCCGGCTTGTAAAAGGCTGATCGTGATTGTATCCTATAAATTTTTGAGTGCTTGCTGGATTTTTTTTCGCTATTTGTTGTAGGGGCTTGTGGCACAGAGTACACATACTTTAGTTGCTTGAGAGGAAGACCCAGAACCCTGGCCACATAGGGCCTGCCCACCATACAACTCCCACGAGTCATGGAATCACTACCACCGCTCTGGCGATCCGCGTGATGGAATTCAAAGGTGATGCCCAGAGGGCAGTTCTTTGGCTTAATGGTATTCCGCACATCGATCACACTGAAAGTGAGTATGTCCTGGAACAGACCCAGCTGGATGGCCTCCTCGATGCCGGCATCAGTGACCAGGAAACATCCCAGGGAACTTCCCGAACTCAGTTCCCTCAGGTTCACGTGGTAGACATTGTCTGCTCGTAGAAATACGGACATCACGATATCCGTAATGCATCGATCGCCAATTAATTCCATCACCTGGAAGTGGAAACTATTAAGCAAGGGCAATTGCTGTCCCCGACAAAACTGACAAGTGCTCGAGGTCTTCTTTTCCAGCTTGTTTTCCCGCTTGTTTTCCCGCTTGTTTTCCAGCTTGTTTTCCAGCTTGTTTTCCAGCTTTTTCTCCAACTTCCTTTCCAGCTTCCTTTCCAGTTTTCGCTCGACACGCTTTTGTTTCATCGATTGGACATTGGTATTGAGGCTATTCACCTGGTGACGAATATCAGTCAACTGCTTGGTTATATCACATATACTGGGGCAATTGGTACACGGCGGTGGTTTCGTCGAACAATGCGGTTCCTCTGGTAACTGTGTATTATGTGGCTTAAATAAATGCAGCTTATCCGATTTAGAATTTGGTGAAACATCATGAGAATTATGACACTGATCTGCGAACTCTGATTTGGAGTGATCCTGGGCACCGTGTTTTGAATTTCGTGAGGATTTTTGGGACGCAGCTTGATGAGTTACTTTAGGATGTTTTGTTTTAGAAGGCAACTTATTGGAATGCATGATTCCTTCACCCGAGGGAACCACAATTACAGGTCTCGTGCAACAATGGCAAGTTATTCGTTTTTTACGGGGATGTTTCTCATCACAGCAAACGGTCGTCGAAGTGGGTTCGTCTGATTCCGAACATGGGTAGTCCCGAAAGGATGGATCACAATCCGGAATGTCCCTGGCCACGGGCTCTTGGAAACACACGCAGCTTCTCTGCTGGTTCTCATGTGCATCATGGCATGGGGACTTAGTGGGTTCCGGCTTTAAATTGCACCTCTTGTCCACATTTTTTTGTGATGTTTTATTGTACTGACAGGGAGATTCCACTGGTTTATCATTCGAGGGGCACTCCGGTTTTCCCCACGGCTTAGCGGCATCGCAGGGGAGTTCATTGTGCTGGTCATGGCACTTTTTTAGTTGTTCCTGAGCCTTATCTGAGTCCTTACAATCCTTATAGGACCCTCCAGCTGCAATACGTATGATGGGTGTCTGCAAATTTCGAGGGATTCTCTGATGGGATCTCCTGTGTATGGCGTTTTGCACCCGGATCAGGGTTTTTATGTACCGCATATAGATTCGGTCGGAGTCTGTGGATAAATACTATTTATATATTATCTGGAACAAATAAAAAACATTTTACGTACCCAATTCTGAATTACATTTGTAGTTTCTCTGCAGCATCTGCTCTTCTAAATTAACATTGGCATTGCGCGGTTGGTTTGAGTTCTGTCTATAAAAATAAACTGTTTTACCCATTTTTCGACATTTTAGTGTTTTGTGCTTAATGTTTTTGTATAAAAAGTTTATCGAGTCTATTTAAATAATGCAAGCAAAACAAGCTAAGCCAACTGAAATCCATTTACAAACTTTTTAACTTACCGTTTTATATATTTATATAAAATGAAATGTATATAAAGCTTTTTAGTGTCTTGGTATACATAATAACTTTTATTTTGGCTTACACACATTTGGCAAACGAAAAACCACAAAATATTTAATCTTTGGCTAGGTCATTTGTATTAAATATTATTTCACTTTGGTTTGAAATATTTTTTTCATTGGGTATCAACTAGTTTTGTATAATATATATTTTTAGAATTTTTGTATAGTTCAAAGGTATTTAGCCTTCACAATGTATTGTGGTAAAAAGGTTATGCTTAGTTTTACATAAAAATGTTATCGTTTGTTTTTAGCCCTGAAAATGTACACGTGAAAATGTTCGTTTTGGCTTTTGACTATTAAGAAAGGTAAAATGTCTTATAAAATTTAAAATGCTGTCGTTAAGCTCTTTTATAATTTTATTTATTTTTTATGCGTTTGATGGTTTACTCGAGATTTTAAAGATGTTAGATAGATTACTTGAACATTTTTTGTTTATAGGTATATGTAATGAAGGAAGGCCTATGTTTGGATACAGATTCACTCTTGTAGAGTGAAGACTGATTCGTTTTGGCAAATTTTTGATTACATCTTAAAGATTTGGCAACAAAATCTCTATTAAGATACAAGGCTTAAGATCAGCAGAAAAAACTTTCAATTCGCAATAAATTATTAGCTAAAAAACCTGTCGTGACTTAATTTAAAATTTTCACAGAGAGGAAACTTGAGCAAAGCTTTAGATTTGCATAATTTTGGGGAGCCAAGGCCAGCCAACCGTTGATTTTCTTTAACCGCTATGAGGATTTGTTTAAATATATAAATATTCCTATAAGTTGTCCATAAACATCTCTCAAATTGAAGCATTAAAAGCTAAAAAGAAACTCTTACTAAACTTAACCGTAACACTGTTTTAGGGTATATCAACGCACTGAACTTAAGAGTTAACCGAAATACCTAGACCGAGCAAATCAGACAGAAAAGTGTCCCCGTGGACACGCCTTAAAGCTATACAAAGCACATGGGGTTAAGGGCCTGGTTCCTGGTTCCTGGTTCCGCTAGGTGCATCACCCGTCATCCTTCATCCTTCATCCGCCTGCAGATTCAGATTCATCCAAGTCTTGGCCGCAACAGGCCCATTAGTGTCATCAGTCCCAAAATGAGGGAAGTGGACTCGAGAGCCCCAGAAGAGGATCGCGGTTCCAGGGACAGCGTCTTGTACTTCTCCACCTTGGTGAAGTCACTGAAGCCGGCCAAGTTGCGGGATGCGGCTCTCACCAGGTAGACAGTGGCCGGCTCTAGGTTTGTCAAAAGGAACGTTGCCCCTGAAATATAATTTAAGCCATTCGATTACATTTATTAGAAAGTGTTTTTGCCAATAAGCTATACATTTTTAGTGCTATTTGTTAGATATAGTCAACAAATTATAACAAATAATACTTCATTTTAGATTTAGTAAATATCATACAAAATATATGATTATGGAAATATCATAGATTTATCTTGTTAAAAAATATTTTAGTCCTAAAATTGACATTATTTTAAATGTGTCAAGGCTGACATCAATAAGCTTATGTATTTATATAAAAATATTTATATTTTTAAATTGATTTGTTTTATATATTTTCTTCTTAAAATATTATTGTTAATAATTTTTGAAATTTTAAATTTCCCTAAGGAATAATCTTTTAACATCATTGGCTAGCTAAGCTCACCCTCTTCGAATCGAAAGTCCTTCCGTTTGGCATTGGTCCACTTGCCGGCTTCCGACTTGAACTCCATCTCGGTCATGTACTCGATGCGGAACCCGTTGACATCCATGGGCCTGCGCTCCTGACCCCGCGGCGCACTCAAAACGACGTCGAAGGTGTTGGAATTGAAGCCGCGCAGCTTAAAGTTGGCCGGAGCAGGTGGCTTGTCGCCCTGCTCCAATCGCGTGGTCCTCTCGATGGTGCCCAGATGATTCGCAGCCCGACACCGGTAGTTGTCGAAGGCGCTGGCGTTCAGCACGTGGATGGTCAAGAGGGACCAGTAGCTGTCCGACTCGATGGTGTAGAGCTTGTTGTTGCTGTGCAGCTTGTTGTGTTTGCGGTGCCACGTGAAGTTGGCCGGCGGTTCCGCCAGAGATTCACACACGAGGGTCGCAGTGCCGTTGATATAGGCATACTGCATGCTCACAAACGGTGACTTCGACCAAATGGGCTTGTCTGTGGAAAAGGCCAGGCATCGATAATAATCATTAATTATTTTAATAACAATTACAGAACATTGTATGTAATTTTGTATTCATCAATTTTAGGAACATCTCATTATTAACTCTATTATTCTATCGTAAATTGGTTCCATTTCAAAATTTGGACTATCATCATAAACAATTTTTATTTGACTCTTTTTTTTTTGATTCTACAGGGACTTTTATACTATTCTGTTTTATTTGTTATACACTTTGTGCAAGAGTAAATAAGTTGTGGACATGAATAAAAAGAGTTTCTTTGTTATGTTTATAAAAACAATCCCAGCAGTTCTTTAAATATAAAAGCTTATTTAATAAAAATTATAAAAATCATAAAGTAGGCATTAAAATTATTGCTATTTAATTTTGCAAGTCAATCAAAGAATATTTAAGAACAAAATTAATCTGCAATTTGTGGCTACCGTAAAGCTGAACAAACTGACGGCTCAAAGCGCGGCGTTCAAAGGTATGCCATGGAAATGGAAAAACCATGTACGCTAACCATAAATCAGCCCTGGCCAAGTTAAGCCATTAACTGCATGTGCGCCACGCCCATTGGCCACACATCAGAAACACCGGCCCACATCGGGATTCATCAAAAGCGGCTCGCATGCCGCGAATGTAATACCAACGTTTTCCGTGCTCAAAAACTATTTACCGCTCAGTGCGTCGCATACTAAGCGCCAGCTCAAAATTTAGAACACCCAAGCATCGGAAAAAAAAAAAACAAAACGGTACTCAAGTAATTTCGACAGGTGACCCTATATTGCACACTGGAACTTTGGTTCGGAAAAAATGGATGACAAATTCTGAACAAATATGCAAAGGAATATAATGCAAATTATATAATAAATATATTGTCAAACAAATTAAAAAGTAAAATAGCCTAATCCCAGAATTTTAAATACCAAATTTAATTTACAAACAAATATTTTACAATTTGTAATATTCCTATTGAAATATTTTTTTATAGTTTTGGTTCATTAGTAAGATAATATATAGATCCATTAAAAAGCCTATTTATGAAAATATACGCCAAAAGCGTATAATCCCCTCTATATAAAATGGTTGGGGGGAAAACCGTTAATGAAGGATTACAAGACTACACTAACAGGTGAAATTGTCTATAAAAAAACAGTTAAATAAAATTTAAAACTTTAAGTGCAAGTCTTAGAAATTCAGTATTATAACCAGAGTTTTCATTTTGTAAAAACACTCCTCCAAATATAGAGTAATTCTGTCCCAGTGTGCATCTGTTTTTTTTTCGTTTTTGGTAGTCATAAATCACACTCACGTTCGATTTTCATCAAAACTGTGCGCTCCTGCATATCGGAAGCAATCGAGTTGACTTGGTATGCCCGGCACGCGTACTCGCCGGTGTCATTCTGTGTTACCTTGTTGATGAGCAAACCATCGGCCAGGATGCGGAACTTGGAGTCATCAGCGGCTGCACATGGAATGGAGTGAAAAAGGGCAGGTATTCAGTAGGGTTCGGTATTTGCTTGGGGCACTGGGGCAGGGGTATGCAAATGCAAAATGCTCATTACCGCCGGTGCTGATGGGCTGTCCGTTGAAGTGCCAGGTGACATTCGGCTGGGGCTCGCCCTTCACTTCGCACAGGATGGTGGCCTTGTCGCCCTCCTTAACGGTCATCACGGTGGCATTTTCCGTGAATGTAATTTTCTCTGCAGGGCGCGGGGCAAGAAAACAATGCAATATTAATGACTGACCTACGACCTCCGGCGAATCCAACACTTACGGTACACAATCAAATCGAGGGATTTACTATGCAGACCTTCATCGGGAGCTTCGCAGGTCCAATTGCCCTTGTCGGCCAGTGCGATGTGGGCGAAAACGATTTTCAATTGTTCTGTGCAGAGAAAATAAACAAGCGAACGCGATGGAGAGTAAAAAGAAATGAAAAATGGGAAATTGAGTAAGGAATACATAGAAAAAGGTTAAACGGGGTTCGCAAAAACAAAGCGATGAACATAAAGCACCACAGCACTTTAAGAAAAGGGACGACTATTTGATACCCCATTTAAAAAAAAGCTATCCCTATATTTCTTTTAATAAATTTAAATTTAAAAAAGACTACATATTAAACTTTATATGTTTAAAGAAAATTCCCTTATCTAGACTTTAAAGTAATAAAGGCGAATCATTAATATTTCTTAAATTAAATATAAAAATATTTTTTTGTAGCTATTAATTTTGTCTAAATTGTTTTTGCAATTTAATATTTATTTTTACCCCATATTTACCCCAATTACTAAAGCCTTGCCCAATATATTTCAATGATTTGCCCCACTGGGTATTTAGCAAGAAAGAATGTGAGAATTGCAATTAATTGCGTTTGTTGTGCTAGTGGCCTTGTATACATTTGCCCCCCGTGACCCCTGACCTCCTGCCCACGCTTTTCCAATCCCCCGCAGTGTTTCGCTCTGTTTTATCTAGCTCATCCCATCCCATTGGATCAGATCCTTACCTGGCGATGTTTGCTCAATGTGAATGCGTCCTTTGTGCTCGCGTATAATTTCGCCTCTCGGCGATTTCCAATGCAGTTTCACATCCTTATTGGGGCTGCGGCACTGGACGATGAGCGATTCGTTTGTGTATCGCACCACGCTGTGCTCCGCCGGACTGAGCGAAAGACTCTCATGGTGATTGCCCCAGACGACAGCTGAAATGGCAAACAGATGGGAAAGGACACCGTGTGATGGCTGGTTAATTGCAGTCACTGTTTCAAATGTAAACTGAAAAGTTAAGGCCAAGTTTTTGCGATATTTGCATATTAAAGACAGCTGCTCGTTGCATTTTATTTACTTAACAACTATTGTATCTTCGCTTCACATTGCCTTACGCTTATGTCAAAGCACTTAAGGACTTTAAAAAAGTCAAAGTTGAGAAATTAACTTTCAGAAAACTTATTTAAACTCATTCCATAAAATTCAAAGTTACTTAAAAAAGTTTGAAAATGTTAAATGCGCATTATGAAAGTTCTTTCACATGCATTTTCCATTAAAAATAATCGCTTGTTCATGTCAATACAGTATTAAATTCCCATTTTTACATAAAAGATAAATTTAAAAAAGAATATTTATTTAACATACATGATACTTAACCACTAATTGCAAAATTATGTTTGCACCATTTAACACATAAAATATAATCAAAATTTTTCAAAGAATGAAAACCATAACTCTTTGAGAGTTTTTATTTATTTGGCATAAATCATTTGGCAGGCAATTTATGTGGGCAATTTTTTATTTGCCAACATACAGCAAACTGCACTCAACGGAGCGAAATCGTTGCCGCAGCTCAGACTTTCACTTCTTGTTTGCGCCTTGGCAAAATGTTCATTGAAATTTATCACAAGAAATGGCAATTTCATTTCGCCAATTCATGTCAATCTGAGCCAGAGGCAGAGGAGAAAACTTGAGGCAGGATGAGGCTGGCAGGTCCAAACTTCAGCCAGAGCCGGATGCCTTCGCAGCCCTTTGGGTATTCGGGGCAATGTGTAGATGCAAAAATTTCTTGCATACTTTTTAATAAAGTTTGTTGCAAGCCCAAAGTGGCAAAGATGGAATAAAAACAAAAACTACGAAACACGAAGGGGGTGTGGGTGTGGGTGCTGGTGTGGGCCACATGATTGCGTCGTTCATTTCGTTGGCAAAAACTTTTGCGTTGCCTTTTTCTGCTTGTATAAATTTTATTGGCAGCAGTGCGGACATATTGAAATTATACAGCTACATAATGAAATACTCGCATATACATTGGGGTGGCACAAAAAGGAGCCATGTACAAGGAACCGCAGCCAGGAACAAGGAGCAAGCCAAGCGTCATTTTAGTGGAACATTATTAACAATGCATCTGGAGCAAAGATGTTCGCAATTAGGTTTCGCCTCTGAAAACTTTGCTAGTATTAATTAGCATGGTTCAACTTTGAATTGCAATGATTTAAAATGTGGGCAAATACATTATAGCTTGGGTATTTTAATTGGTGGCTTGTAATTGAAAGTAAAGAACGTGAAGTAAGTTCTTGAATTTTACTGGAAATTGACAGGGATTTTTTAAAGATTTCTCTTTATTTGGGTTTTCTTGAATTAAACGTATTTCGCGACCTTAAACGTAAAGAGTCGTTTTTGAATATTTTTGTCTTTTTTCGAGAGCTTGTTGATATCTCAACGAATCAATGCTGACATCAGCCAAAGTTGCCAAACAATAGGAGACATTACTTTTTATCGCGCTTCTGGAACAACTTACACGCCACCCACAATCCGCCACTATATGTGTGCCATATAGTTATGGAAGCATACAAATATTTGCAGTGTTTGCCCTCACCTGCAGACGCCAACGTCAGTGTCTCTGTTGCGTCTGTCTGTTAAAACGCGAGGGTTGACTGCTTGTCGGAATATAAGAATGGATATGTGACTAGCTACATGGAGAAAAAATATTGGCCATAAAATACACAAAAATGCCCTAAAACTATGCTAAAGATTTTCTTTAACGATATGTTTCAATTTGGTTGAACAACATTAAGGAATATCAAGACTTTTGAGACCTCAATTTTCTTGAAACAGCTGCTAGTATCCGCATTCACTTTAAGAATTCTTTCAAATATTATAGCTGTTTTGTAGCTTTATAAATATATTATATTGGGATGATATAGCAAAAACACTAAATCGTAATTAAGTGATAAACAAGCAACAAATTGTTTACCATGTTTCTTCCGTGTATATTGTCGAGCTCCTGTTGCTGTTCCCTGTCAGCAATGGCGAAATCTGGGCTAGAAGGACAGCACAAGAGTCGTCATAAAATTTCATGTGCCAAGCAAAGTCGCAGCACATGCGAGCTTAATGACAACGTCACGAAAAAATAAAATAAATACGACGGACCAGACCAGAGCCAGTGCAAAAAGTAAATGTAAAGCAGTGCCAAGCGTGAGAAAAACAAACAGGTAGTGGTAAATCGGAAATGGCATTCCCACAGGAGCGAAATGAAATTATCTGACTGGCTGTTGGCATTGTTCGGCGGCCTTTATAAATGCATTATGCCGTGCACTCGTGTGCACAGTGAGCGGAAAAAAAGGTGGAGGAGGAAAAACTGCAGATGGCGGTGGATTGAAGTGGGTGAAAGTGGGGTGCTGGTGGTGGACTGGAGGGCAGATGGAGCTGTTGAGCGGTAACACGTGCGAGCTGCCAAAAAATGCAACCAAGCATGCAGCGCGTGGGCGACGTCCTGTGAACTGACGTGCAATGCCAACTGGTCCTGTCAGGAGTGCGAGTGAGATCCTGTATGCGTGCGGGATATTGTAAAGTGTTAACCTGGAAATTCCGTTAAATGAAATGTATTATTCAGCTCCATATTTGCGGCCAGATTATCCCCATTCGACGTTAACAAAGCCGCCTTTTTTGGTTTTGTTCATATTTATAATTAAATTATTATTTAATTAATAATACAAGCAACCGCAGCGGTTTTTTCATATTTTCTAAATAGTTTTGTTTGACGTTGACCAAACGAAACTTTAAATTCAAGAGAGTGATTAAATATTTATGAGAGCTATAATGTCACCAAAAAGTGGATACACACCTATTATTCATCACCCAAATGTTTCAAAAAACATATATAAGAGGCGCCGGAATGCTCATTAAGTCATAAACGGATAATAACATTTTCATATCGCATTTATTAAAGTGGTACTAAAACATATACTAGTTTATGTTTTTATTAATCATAAATAAAAAGTTATGATATGGCATTTAGTGGTTTTAAATGGAAGCGATAAATTCGAAGTGGAGTGATAATTTGTACTCAATTTTTGAATTTGTTGTTTTCGTTTAAAAGTAAATGGTTAGCCATTTCTTCTTTTGTTTTTAAATTATTCATACCGAATTTCACTGAAATGTTCCGTCCTTCCTTAAGACGGTCCTGCAATTCAATTTCCATTAGCTCAACGAAAAACTTTTTAATTATTTTCCAATGCTTAATGGGAGGAATGGGTGCTCGGCTTCCGCTTTTTACTTGCGTCGAAATGATGCAAGTTTTCCTCTTTGTGCGACATTTTTGTTTTGCATTTGCGCTGGCAAAAAGTTTATTATTATTTTTTGATTCTTTTTTTTCGTATTTGCTTTAGCCAGTACGCACGCATGCTCTCAACTTCAATAAAAAAGTTTTAATTTGCAACTGTATCGGAGAGGGGAACAGCCAGTGAAAAGTCCTAGAATCCGTTCAACGTGTTTTAATGTCAGCATAAACGCATATGAAGCGCACTTAACCTGAATTATGCGCGGCTTTTCCCCATCAGAAAGGTCTATAGGAAAATGCTGGTAAATAAAAGCAGGCAAATAATTGCTGCATTTGTTCGAGCTTAACCCATTTCTGTCAAGGGCTTACTTCTGATACGTTATGGCCAAGGACTTTGCGTTGGTTAACTTTTTTTTTCAAAAGCCAGACACAGACGAACGACGATGGAAAAGTAACTTCTTAACCACCAGGGCAATAACCCGGTGACCATTATGCCCTTTTCGGAGTATCCTGCACAGGAATTTAATTCCAATTCCAAAGCACGTAATGCCAAAACATACATAAATCATCAGCGCGTCTCCGCACAAGAATATATTTCCGCTATAAAATGGACGTTTCCGCATTTTGGGCAACTGAACGAGCCACGTCTTGGTAGTGGTCTTGGTCTGGCCAGCAGGAAAAACAGGAAGTCAGGTTGGCTTTTTCGGTTCTGCTTTCCAAGCCGCAGTTGCAGTTGCAGGTGCGGAAGTGCAGGTGGAAAACTTACTCCAGTTGTTGGTGCTTCACCTTGAATGGCCATGGCGAAGATGCCTTTTTAATAGTTTTCCAACTGACACTTTAACCATGCTCTTGTTTCAGTACGGCAATTAATTTTTTTCCTGTTTTTCGCAAACAGTTCATAAATTTTCCATTATGTGAGTGCGCGCCGGAAAATACATTTATGCGTTTTTAAATGCCTGGCAGCTTATAATTCTCCCAGTTCGCCAGCTCTCAGCTCTTTGCTGGCCTTTGAGGAAGCTGGCGCATATAAATTTGCAACTGTCGGGCGATAAGAACCAAGGGGCCAAGGATGCGGGTGTGGTCCAGTTCCAGGACTCGACTGCCCATGATTCGGCTTTCAACTCATTCATCAACATGGTGCGCCTTTGACTTTTGAAACAAAAGTTTGACAAACTTTACTTTCTACTTGGGAGGAGAAACACGAAGTCAGTTTAAACTGACGTTGTCGCAAAACTCCATAAAAGTTAGTGCTACTTAAATATTTTAAACATTTAATAGACAAATCTGCGTACAGTGGCTCACTGTCACTGGCAATTGGGATTTGTGTCAATAAAATATATAATATTCTTTAAGAGAAATGGCATTCCTAAGAAACTAAGGGAGAAAGTCATTTTCAAGAGTTAAAGGGAATTTCATGTTGCTATGTTTTATGAAAAAGCTTCATCGTCTTTTTTCTTTTGTACTCTTGAAGTGACAGAAATAAATCAAATCTCTGATTTTTATAAGGAATATAACAAGAACTCATAAGAAGTTGATAATTTCTGTCATTATTCATGTCTCATATCTAAACAGTCATCACAAAAACATTTTCTTTTCTTTGTCACTTTACTCCACTGTCTCGCTTTCACTTTTCCACCCCCACGAAAAACTTGAATA